CCCCCCCGTTCGTGCCGTCCCTGTAAACATGAAATAAGTCTCGTCTTACTCTTTGATCAAAAAACAAAATGCCATGAAGACACTCGACTTTCCATCTGTATCAAAATGCTAAGACAAACAACAGGTGTTTTGGGAAAAGAAATAACGTATCTGTTTGCTTCATTCCAGTAGTATTACAGCATTAGCGTCGCATCACATTACTAAAAATAATACAAGAGATATGAAAATATTCTGGGTTTAGGTCTAAAAAGTCTTTATTTAAAATCCTTTTTCTCCCTATAATTATTTCAAGTCATACTACAAGCAGCACTTCACCACTAGCGACTTTAAGAAGGGTGCAATCACAGCCTCCTTAAAAAATTTCTCATAAAACAAAACTACTTTTTATAAGTAGTCTTAATACAGCATCTAAGCATGAAGATGGTCTTTCTATTTCGTTTGCTAGTTGATAGAAGAGTACTTTATAGGTATTTTATCTGGAATAAAAATGCCAGCTATGCACTAATTGTTGATTGCGCCATTAAATATTCAAATGACTCAAGTTCTCCTGTTGTTACCAAGAAAAATAAAACCTAAAGTCAAAGATGATATAGACTTGACAATAAAATACTGATTGTCTTAATCATGCTTGATTTAATATGTTGCTTGTAATCTTCTTTATATCGACATCAACAGTCCATAATGAAATCCTAAGTGTAGAACCTTAGCAAAAAAATCTATTAAAAATTAGTATGTTTTATTTGCATTATAGAAGTTATATTAACTATCATTTCTAATATATATATATATATATATATGAAGATTAGCCCATGGATTGAATAGACTGCATTTACGTTTTTCTTTTTCGCTTCGTTTTGTTTTATTTCTTTTCTTTTCTTTTCTTTCCTTCGTTCTCCTCTTTCCTTCTCGTATTCTTTCATTTAGAGCGCCTTGTTCTTCATTCGGCAGTTGACTGAATTGCAAACGATGACGTCAGGTGACACGTTATCACCAGCTAAATTTGCTAAGCAAATTCTCCATCAAATATATCTTGGTGTTTTATGTTCTATACGAGGTTTTATTCTAGCATGGAATAATAATTGTAAGTGATAATTTCTTTCTACAGATACAAAATTAAAATGTAAAACTCATTTAAGATGTATGGAAAAAACAACAACGTTCATTTCTATCACTTCTTACTTGTACAATTATTATTTACATCATCCTTTTTATAATTTTTCTACCATTTCGTCTAATTGTTTGGTTTATTTCATTATTTTATACATTTTCACCATCGGCTATAGAATGGTTCGTACAAGTCACATCAGCAGAATCAATGCTATTCAAACTTCTAACATTTATACCTCTTCTTGCTGTATTTGTAATGAATAATCTATTAGGTAAATAGTAAATACTAAATATATTTTACGCGAATGCGAATTTTATTTCACAGGGTATGATAAATTATTTTTTTCTGTTCTGGCATCTGTGAATCCATCGTTAGCTGAACGTATTAATTCTCATGCACGCCAATCATTTACGAGTTCATTATATTTTTTTGCTCGTCGTACAATCATAATGCTTGCCATCATCGCTTGTATTCATTTTCTTCGTTCAGTACCATACGTAGGTTCTGTTATACCAGCGCTTTGGGTGTTCAAATATGCACGCTATACAATAACAAATACAAAAAATATTTATTTACGAACGATATTTTTTACTCTACTCGTTCTATTAACTATTTTTAAATCACTTCATACACAAGCAATGTCGTTACTACATTTACAAATGGCTAGTACAGCTTTAGCTCGAGAACTATTTGATACATATCTATCACGTATACATACAAAAGCAAAAATAGATCATAAACCAATCAATATTAAAACACCGCTTCCACCATCACGCTATCAATTTTTAGGTTTTTCTGTTCCATCATTATTTTATCCATTATTTAATTCGCCGACGAATCTTGATATTGATAAATCAACTACTGAATTACCATTACCACATAGAAAAATAACACATTTTTTACGAGAAAATTATTTCTTACTACTTGCATTTGCATTTCCTTATGTTTTTCTTTTTTCGATTCCACTAGCAGGATTTTTCTGTGTAGGCTTTGCGCATGGCGCTGCTGCTTATACACTTGCTGTGATTACAGAATAAATAACGAATTAGTACTATTTATTTTAGATAGAAAGAAAAATAAAATAACATATACATCTATTCATGGACCGACAAGAATTTTTTCAATCATATATGGATCATTGGGGTATAACTGACGTGCTGTTAGATTGTTATGTTGACGTATTAATAATGGAAATGATTGGTGAAAACAAATTTGATAATAATAATAATAAAATGGCACGATTAAATTTTTTTAAACAACTACTTTTTGAACATCATATTAAATGTCGAGAACAGCAAGTAGTCGAAGATGAAATTCATCAATTAGAAGAAGAACTTAAACGAATGAAAAAATAAATTATTTATTTTCTCTTTTATTATTGTATCATTTTTATGTATATTATTTGTTTGTGACATGTTGAAAAATAAAGAGATATTCGAAATGAATAGTAAAAAGAAAAAGAATAATTTGACGAATCATACGAAATTCACAGTAACACGAACTGAAGTGTATATACGATGTGCGGTATAGACAATGTGAGAGAGAAAGAGCGATGTAGAGAGACAAATAAATACGACGAACTACAATATATATTTTATTCGTTCATAGAATTCAGTCAAGGTTGACAAGGACACACTTACATCACGACCATATTAAGCAGTAATAAAAACAACCATGTATGGACGAAAACGCAATGGTATGTTTATTTCTTAATTAAAACAAATTTGCATATTTGGGAATTGACTGATTTGATAGGTATTACATCAAATTCACATTTGCAATACAGCGAAGATGAACATGACGAGTATAGTTTATTTTTGTTTCTCAACATTTATCTTTTGTTTACAAAATTTATTTTTCTTAATAGACTTTTACATACAGGTTCGCCAATAGTCATGTTAATTATTCATAATCTTGATCATATGATGCAGCCACATGAATGGGAAACATTATTAACGCGTGAAATTCATGGAGCTCGAGTAAGTTATAGATTTATGTCGGATTAATTTCATAGAAAAAAATTTATTTCTATTATAGATGTTAGGTGTAGCTGTAGTTCGTGAATCGTCATCGTCACGTCCATGGGGAGAAGGCGAATTAACAGCATATATATTTACTCGTCATGACGCTCCACTGATTCGACAATATTTACATAATCGACGTCTCGGTTTTCGACGTCTTCACGTCGACACAGTAACAAGTGAAAATGGTATCGAAGCGTTTCTTGTGTAAGTTCAAACGATTCACTTAAATGCAAATAAAATCTAGTCTCTGTTTTTTTTTAGTCACAAAATTCTCCAATTACTTAAACTTAATCCGCAAATGTCTGAAGTGACTATGGAACAACGTATCAATAGTTTTTTTCGACGGTTCGTCGTTTTCCTTTCGCATTGAAAAGCTCGATTTCATTATTTTCTAGTATTCCATCATCTATACGTCCACAGGATTATGATCGCACAGCTGTTATGCATTCAATTCATCAATGTATGGGTTTACCAGCATCACCACCAGCATCAAGTGAAGAAAGTGAAGCTGATAGTGATTCACCGCCATTACATCGTAAACCTATGGCTCAACCAATGCAACAAAAACTACCAATACAGATGCCCATCGAACAAAGCAACACATATTTTACTCCACAAATTATTCGTATTGATGAATATACGATGCAACTTCATTTTACTCCACTCTATTTTGGTAAAAGGCAAAAAAAATTAGATTGCTTGGTTTTAATTTTTAATTTTTTTAATAGAACTTTTGGACTCTATGCCGATTCCTCCTCCAACTGATGAAAGGGACCAATGGATAGCCAATGCAAATTTCTAATATTTATTTTTTAATTTTTAAACATTATTTATGAATTCTATTCTTTTTTTTTGCGTTGAATGCATTAATGTTTTATTTGTCCGTATGATTTTGCAATGAAGATTTAGTCGTTGTTATTATGATCTTATATTGACCTTTTTTTTTTGTCGAAGTTTTATTTTTAAATCGTATATCTTAAACGCCAATAAAAAATATTTAGTTGAAATAATAGTTTGATGTAGCACTACCAACAAGACATTAACCACTGATCCTTTTGTACAAGATCTAGAAATTTTAATCAAATCTCGAACGAATAAAACTAGAATATTAGATGAATTTATTTATTCGTTCTTTGTTCAACAATCGATTAGAAGACATGATGAAATAGATTTTCTCTTCGTCGAAAAACTTCTACATTTTATTTATTTTTTAAATATATATCTTTCTGTTCAATTGAAATATATTATATTTGTACAGATAGATTAATATCGAAAACATAAATTGAATGATCTTCTCTTGAGATTTTGATTTCGCTTATATTTAGGATCAATCGTACCAATGAGCGTTCACAGCGAATGTTTTCCATTTGTGGTTTCGTCTGATTGGTTACGAGAGAAATTCAATTGAAAAAATTTCATCTAAGTCTTATTAGTTTCATAATAGTCAAGAGGTTTTAGAAAAATACAAATGTATGTGCCTCGAGGAGATAAGCAAGTTCAAAAAAACATTTATTTTTACTAAAAGATCCAAAAAATTATCTTTTGTGCTTAATTAAAGTTTTGAAACCTACAAAAAAAACTATGAAGTCTATTCGCGAATAAAATTTCGATCGATAGGTCGTTGATATACTTTTCTTCGTAACATATTAAATTTTATTTTCATAGTCATAGGAAATAATTCCAATAACTTGCATGATCTTGTATAAAACATAAGTAATCACAGTTCAGCGAGAATTCTTCAATATTTCCTGTGAATGCACTGCGGCGTCCTACTAAGAGAATCCAACATGCAAAAAAAGAAAAAAGACTTTTATATTGCTTCCGAGAAAAAACGGTTATTTTGAAACAAGCATAAAAGTAAAGTCTAATGCCTAAACTATCGAATGCATGTTCTTTTTCTTCAGTCAATTAAAAATGAAACAGTACTTTAAATGCAAGTTGCTCCGGCAAGAATAAAAATAGAGTTTTGTAAAACGGGGGTAACGCATGCGTAATTAACAAACAGTCTCTGTGTCATGTCGTTACTATGTATTGAAAAGAACGAAGAAACATACTTTTATTTGTCAAAAAAATTTCACATAGAGACATGCAAAAACAATTATTCTATCATGAATCTGATCTCTTTCCGTATGAACCTATTTCTCCTATTTTGATGGTTATTTATTCATTATCATCTTTTTGGTTTTTTACTATACTTAATCAAACTATCAAACGCAGAAACATCGATAAAACAAACTGGTTAAAACACAACATATTACTTAGTTGTATCCATGCTGCTATTTGTTCAGTGCTCTTGACCATTAGTGTTCTTCGAGAACCAAACATTTTTCAGGATCCATTATCACATTCAAATCATTTCAACTATGCACTAGTTGCATTTACGACAGGTTATTTTCTGTACGATTTAATTGATTGTATTCAAAATTCAACATCATCAACAATTGCATTCCTAATTCATCATATTCTTGTTATGATATTTTTTATTCATGTTCTTTTTCATACGCGTAATCTTGGCTATGCTGTATATGGTCTTTCTATTGAAATAAATAGTTTTTTCCTACATGCTCGACGACTCTTTCGTTGGTATTCGCCAATATTAACATCGACGTACTTAAATAATCTACTTCAAATATGTATTGACATTGGTAATTATGTAACATTTATATTATTTCGTTTTGGTATTGTTATTGTTGGTTTACGTGCATTGTATATTCAACGAAATCGCCTTAATCCAATCGTACATGCATTTACAGTTATAATTACTGCGGCTATGGGCATTTTGAATATTGTTCTTTTCTATCGTCTAGTCAAGGGGCATTTTATGAGAAAATTAAAAGTAAAACAAATCGAAGATCAAAGTTTGACGATAAATAATCCGATTTTACTGCCAAGTTAATTATAATTAATAAATGAAATCCATATAGCAAACACGTCTGATCATTGATAAACATTTTTGAAAAAATGCAAAACTTGAATCGGTAATTATAAAATAGATTAACCTTTGAGGATAGGTTTAACAACAAGCGATTCACTTAAATGTTGAACTTCGTGTAAGAGCAAAAAATCATGACTTATTTTCGGAAGAGCTCTCCTAAAGTATCGCAAATGACTTACGATGGAGCGCTTAAAAACTGTCCAAGAGCTTATGAGTTTAAACTTTTTGCATAAGGTAAATTTCAGTAAGATAAGAGTAATCCCCTTGGGTCTTCTGTCTAGAGTGATAAAAATTTGACTGGAATCTTGATCCGTAGGATGGTAGATAAAAAAATTGAATTACTATATTTCAGCGGGAGATTCCACTCAAAGACTTATATATTAGCCAATAGGATACTTTGAAAATTTCAGTTCAACGTAGCGTTGCATGTCTGGCCTATTCACGTTTCAAGTACCGCTGGTATCCCAAGAAAATAGATCTGTCTTTGAACAGAATTCAGGTCGAAATATCTCAGCTAAATTTTATGTGCTATAAATCGAAATTCCAGTAAAATGCCTATGACTCAAGATAGAAGACCTAAGGAGATTTATCATACCTTACTGAACTCTACCTTATGTAAAAAATTCGAACTCAAAAGCTCTTTAACAGTTGAAAAAGTTTTTTTGTCATATGAAGAAAAGAAAAAAAATCAACTACAACAGCAATAATAAAAGAAGATAGAGATTATTCTTATTTACTTTAAACATCGTTTTAATATTGATGTAGATGCGCTTTTTTATTAAATATATTCAATTTTTATTGATATTGCTTATATGTTCATGTTAGTTATAAGCTTTACCTAAAATTCAAACAAAATATATTCATAGTATATTTTATTGTTTTTAATGCGATGCGAAGCAGAAGCATTTATGTAGTCCGTCGCGAGTTTTTTTTATTTTTTTATTTTTTTATTTTTACTCACTTGACGTACGCATCACAAGTCGTCATTTTGTGTCGCGATGATCTCGAGAACCATAAATCGTAGAAAAATCGTTGAAACGTGAGATCCAAGTATCAAGATCGAACTGAGACCATCTGGTTTCGAATCTTTAAACTGAAGTTCCGTTCACTCAGAAATGTGGTTCCAAAATGACGAAAATGAAAGAAATTTATCAAGAGATAATTAAAGTGACGTCATCAACATATGTTATCCACTATAGTTTATTCATTTCCAGCTGATCTAAGATAATGAATCATGGAGATAATTAATCGATCAATCGAAATCGATCCTTAAGAATGTATCGCTAAGTAAGAATGGAGTTTTCTCAGTGATGAATTTCATCATGTCGACATAAATAATATTCAAGATTTCTCTGAACTGTAGACTTTTTGCGAAGATCCGATTCGAGCTTCGCATCGCATTTCGTATTCGAGTGAAACTTGAATACCATCTAGTTCTGTGACGGGATTGTCTGATGCCCCCCCCTCTCCGTCTCAGGCACACACATGTAAATATGCGCGGAATTTAAGAAATGTAAAAATGAGATACATCATCCTTAGTACCATTTCAATTATTTGCAAAATACTTCTTAGTATTTCATTGTATTTTTTGATTGCAAAGTCGACTTGCAGTATTTAATAGTAGTTTTACTATATCCAACATTTGTATGTTTCTCAAAAATTAATTTCATTTTCTGTTGTTATGATGATAGTAGCTTTATTTTCTTTTAGCTATTGTTGAATGAATAAAATCTATTCTTGAATCTATTAACTTGGTTCATTCACTACATTAGATACTGTTCTACAGCGCTCTTGTTTTCTGCTGTGAATGATTGCTGTTCACAGTCTGTTATCTTGAAATACCATTGGTATGCTTGATGTAACCGTCTGGCATCAATAAAAATGACGCATAGCAAAACTAAGAAAACCCTATCAAGAAAACTGAATCAAACGTTCGTTTATTTCAAGTCCTTTCCTTTCAGTACACTTGACCTTTTAAAAATGTTTTTCTTTCGTTACGTCTCACATGTATTAAAACTTTGTACTTTTTTCTGAAAAACAAATTTCACAATTATTAAACTAACGTGGTAAAATTGAATCAAGATCAGCAATAGAAAAAGCATACACAGCCCAAACAGCGGCTGCTAAATCAACATCTGTTGAATTAAGTACATTCATTGTATCACCTCTCGAATGATGATATGCAAAATAATCCCAATTATCATTCAAAAGTGATGCACCGGGAACTCCGTGTTGCATCCATTTGCTAATATCTTCCCCACCACCTCCTGACACCACTTGTGTTGCATTGATTGATGTCAATAGTTTAGATATAGTTGTTACAATCTATATAAAAAAAGCAACTTTTCACTGAAGAACAAATCTATTTTTTACGAAAACTAATTTTTGTCATACTTGTTGTGCTTCAGGTCTGCCTTGAAATTGAAGACCTTGAGGATGAAAAACACCAAGATCTGATTCCATGACAATACTCATGTTTGGTACTTCATTTTGATGTGCAGTAAAATATTGATCACCACCAATGCCACCGAATTCTTCACATGACCATAGAACACAACGTATTGTTCGTTTAGCGCGAATATTCAATGCATGAATTAGCGAAAGAACAGTCCATGAAATCGCAGCACCACCCCCATCATCCATAGCTCCTTGAAAAAAGAAAAGCTCGAGCATAAGAAGAATAAAACGACGCAAAATGACGAGTAATTTACCTTGGCCTACATCCCAACTATCTAAATGTCCACTTACAAGAACAGTTTCATTGGGCAATGTTGAACCTTTAACTTCAGCTACAAGATTGTAACCAACAACATCAGGTAATGTTTGTGCTTCCATATAGAGAAAAATTTCCATAGATTGATTTCGTTGTTGAAAACGATCAAGCATATCGGCATGTTCAACTGAAAGTGATGCTGCTGGAATTTTCGGATATGTTAAATCATATTCCATAACACCTGTATGTGGTGAATCAATGGAGCGTGATGCAGCTGATCGACTAAGCGATGCTAATGCTCCACATTTAGCAGCATGTGATGCTCCACCAACACGATAACCTACAACAGGACCATAGCAACCGATAGGTTGTGCTTGCCAATCACATTGAGGATTAAAAACAACAATTTTATTTTGTGCTTCACCACATCTTGCATTTAATTCATCGAACGATCGAACAACAAGTACAGGTGCTTGGATTCCATTGGGTCCAGTCCCAACTGAATTACCTAAACCAAGCATGGATAATTTTGTATTACGAGGTTGAATTAATCGAGCATGTTCTTCACCACGTACCCAATGTGGTATTTTAACTTGTTCGGTATGAACATTATCAAGACCTTCATTGATCATAGCATTTTGTACCCAATTAACAGCATTGGTTAATGATTCATTTCCACATAGACGAGGCCCTATTGTATCAACTAAGGCAGCTAGACGATTATAAGTTACACCACGAAATTCACCTTGAGTAACTAATTCAATAATACGATCTGCTATTGTATTTGACTGTAAATGATGATCAATACTAATTGATCGACTAGTTACACTTAGTATAGGTAGTAGAAGAACAAGCCATAGCATCATTCTAGAAAACAGAATATTTATCATTATGAAATGACAAAAAAAAACAGAAGAGCAACCAAATTTACTGTCGACAGATGTATATTTGTTTTATGTTATTTACCTTGATAGTTTATCTACTATAACAGAATGACTTTATGTTATATAGAAGAACTATCAGTGTCGATACTTAATCAGCTGAAGGTTTCTTTTACATAGCCTCTTCAAATGAAAAACTTGGCAGTTTTTCTTTCATCATTATAATTTGTATAATAGATACAAGATTTCATTCTTTAATTTACTACACACACACAAATATATATATATATATGTTGTGGTCAAAATTCAAATCCAGTCAAATTTAAAATTTGCCCGGGCAAAATTCTAATTAGAAGTTTGCCCAATATAATCTCCGTCAAAATTCTAATTTGAATTTGGTCCAGGCAGAATTCAAATTAGAACTGTGTCCAACAAAATCCCAGTCAAAATTCTAATTTCGATTTTTACTAAAAAAATTCTAATTTCGGTTTTCACGAAAAAAATTCTAATTTCAATTTTCACTAAAAAAATTCTAATCTCAATTTTCGGGGTGTGGGTGGTGGTGTGGGTGTCGGATGCGGTTGGGCACAGGATCAACACCCACACCCACACCCTGAAAAATGAAATTAGAATTTTTTTAGTAAAAATCGAAATTAGAATTTTGACTGGGATTTTTTTGGACATAATTCTAATTTGAATTCTGCCTGGACCAAATTCAAATTAGAATTTTGACGGAGATTATATTGGGCAAACTTCTAATTTGAATTCTGTCTGGGCAAATTTTAAATTTGACTGGATTTGAATTTTGACCACAACATATATATATACACTGTATATATACACATATTAATGGTCATACAAAGATTGAAGATTTTCTAGTTAATTATTTGAGTATTCAACACTAAAAAACAGATAACTAGAAGAGATAAGAATATAGATGGGGTTTAGCTTGAAATCTTTTGATTTGTAGTGAACTATTGTAACACTGATGCACCTCCAATAAATATCATTAGATTGGGCAATATGAAAATATGATCATAATTCCTTCGTTTGATTCATTCAGATTGAAACCTATTTTAAGAACTTTAATTATAAACTTAAACATCATAACTTCTATCATATTCATAGAAAAAAAAACTATCACGCGCTACAATATTGCAAACTATACTTTTTTTCTTTCTAACTCGATGTTATCGAAACTAAATAGTCCAATTGTACAGTTGTTTATTCTAATGCTTTGTTGGTATTCTATAAGTTCATTAGCAAATATAATTGGTAAACGTCTACTTACTGTATTTCCACATCCATTTAGTGTTACAGTTGCTCAACTGTTTCACGGATGGGTTTATTCTGTGCCATTACTTCGTTTAATGGCTATACCACCATCAATTCAATTACATTCAACGCGTATTTATTATATCATGATTTTAGTTCCGTTAGCAATAGGAAAACTACTTTCACAATTAACTTCACAAATCAGTTTACGATTAGTAACAGTTTCATATGCGCATACAATTAAAGCATTGATGCCTCTATTTACAGTTATATTATCAAAAATTATACTTGCTGAAGAACAATCGATTACGGTTAGCTTTCAAAAAAAAGAGAATATTTTTACGAATAAATCCAATTAATAGGAATTAAAATATAACTATTTGTTGAATTAAACGAAGAAATAAGAATTGTATATAGTTGCATGACTGAATCTATCGAAAATAGATTGGATGCAAGCTTATTTACACAATATATTCAAATTCTAAGCATCACTCTCTCGATGTTTTTGCTTTTCATATACAACTGTTCATTGATTGTCTGCTAACAATTTAGTACATGCTCTTTTTCTGACATCATCACTGAATCAAGTTCAATTCATCGATATTAAATTCATCTTTTTTCGGATTGCTCAGTTCGATTCATATCTTTCTAACATAATAATCTTCTTTTTTCCCCCCACCGCAATCAACATTTCTCTTAGTAACAGTATTTTCTGATACATTTAGAATGCAAGAGAAAACCTGTTTCTTTAATCCATATTTTAGATTTATCTTTCACTTATACCTATTATCCTTGGTGTTATAATATCATCGATAAGTGAATTTTCATTTGATACGATTGGCTTCATCAGTGCATTACTTAGTACATGGTTTCATGCTCTTCAAAATGTCTATTCGAAAAAAACACTTAAACAAATAGATATACATCATTTAGCATTGTTATCTGTTCTCTCTAAAATATCTTGGTGTCTTCTTATGCCATTCTGGTTTTTACTTGATGGGCCACATATTGATTTCAAACGAGAAGTATATTATATTGATGTTGTCGTAACTTACTTTTATCTTCTTTTGATTCATTATAGTTAACATCAAAAGTAATATGTTTTCTATTAATCGATGGTTTATGTAATTTTATTTATAATGTTCTTGCATTTACAATGATTTCATATCTTTCACCATTGAGTTATGCAATAGCTGGGAGTACAAAACGTATAGTTGTTATTATAATCTCTATTGTTGTTTTTCATAATCCTATAACTTATATGAATTTATTTGGTATTAGTTTAGCTATAAGCGGTTTAATTCTATATAATAAAGTAAAATATAATGAGAAGAAACAACAATTATTATCGTCCCATACAATGACGCTACAACCAATATTACTCACACGATTACCATAAAAAAGAGACAAAAAAAAAGACATTATTTTATTTAACATATATAATCATTCTTGCTGTTGGAAACCATCGTTCCATACAGGTTTTCGTCCTAATGATGAACGATTACTAGCTGACACCGGACGAGAACGTATACTGTTGCTATTCGTTAATGAATGCGTAGCTGAAGGTGATCGACCAAGAGAACGATGGGATCTTTCAGATGCCGAGAAAGTCGATGATATATTAGCTGTACTTGAAGTTGGCCGAGAGCGTGGTTCACTCGAATATGTATCAAGGCCCATTATACGGTCATAATTAGATAGTAGTTCCTCTCGTTTTAAACCACGAGTCGGGCGAACATTTTGAAGACGTTGTAAAATTTTCTACGAAAAAAGAAAATTTTCATGTATTAAAAATTGTGTTGTTTTTAGAAAGCTAACTTACTAAATTTTCACGTTCAATTCTTTGCTGTTGCTGTTGACGATTGATTGCGGATGAAGTTAAACGAAATCTAGGATTATCTTTTACATGATTTTGCATACGTGACTTTTGATAATAATCATCAATAGTATCGTTTCTAGTTAATTGTTGTCGATCATTGTATGCGGGTGAAGGTTGACCACTTGAAGGTGCTGATAAACCGAGCAGAACAGTTTTCATTGATTCAAGATGAAATGGATGTCGTTGTTGCTCGTTTATTGACGATACATCCGTAATATCATGTTCAGAAGTATCTGATGATGATGATGACACGGTTGAATTTTGTGTACGTTGACGATAGACTGGTGGTTTCGTAGCTACTATTCGAGTTTCCGAGATCACTGATGTTGGCGATATTGTACTATCGTCATCATCATAAAAAGAATCTGATAGTTGCGGTAACTTTTCATTCGTTTGGTCAATCATCTGAATGAAAAAAGAAAACCTTCATATCATTGATTGTTCTATTGAGTTAAATGTTACGGGTATGTGTTATACTAATAATAAATGAATACAGTTATATATACACCTTAGTAGTACTCTCCTTCAACTTCATATACTTCGTGCCGTTATGGGTCAGTGACTCTTTTCTCTGTTCTTTTTTCCTCTAATTTCATATGTGTATTTCGATATTGGCAAATATTCTCTCTTTTTCTCTCTCATGATCTTCGTCGACATATGCATGAAATAAACGACTAATTTATGTATTTTCTTCTGTAGAGAAGGAGGTTATTTTAAGTAAAAATAGTGATGGGTATTGCCAATTCTCGAGAATTACATGGGAATCGACAAAGAAGACCATCACCATACTTTGGATCTTCGAATCAAGGTGAGAACAGGTACAGAAGATATTTCTTTCGTCGAAGGATGCCTAATACAACAATATCACCTACTTTACCTAATGTTGCACAATCGAATTCTAATCAATTTTTATATGGAACTCGTCCTGGTATGAGTCCAATGCCTGTCTATGCACCATTACCACCCCTGCCATCAAGACTGCCGCCAATGTCTTACAATAACTTTCCTGTTGCTTCATATATGCCACAACAACCTATGATGGTGCTACCACAACGAGTAGCACCAATGATGTCTACACCATATATGAATCCTGTATCTCCTTCTTCACCTCCAATATCAACTTTATATATGCCACACGCACAAGCACAACAACCTTTCTTTAATAATATGGTACGACCAGCTTCTGTGCCAATGACGGTACCCGCAGGAGTCCTATTCAGTCCTCCATTAAATTCTGTAGCACCTATGAGATTACTCACAGATTGGACAGGAGGTGGGCAAATATCACCTGGTTTTCTTGGGCCTCCTATTTAGTCGATTATTATTCCATTTTCTTTTTACAGAGTATGTGTTACATGCATATCTACTTTAAAAAAAGAAGTTTTTTTTTTAAATTTGTTTAACTTTCTTCTGTTTCTGGTTACCAATACTTTCGTCTTTCTATCAAATATGAATAAGATGTAGCATATCAGATATCTTTTCGATGTTTATTATATTATACGTCATGTTACATATACAATCGAACGAAATATGGTAGTTTTCATCCCTCGTTGGTGATTTTTAATTTTGATAACTTAACCTAATAGACAATATCCAATATGGAATGATCGTCACCAATGAAAACAAGGGCACCACCACAATATCTATTGTAAATGTCTTTATATTCGTTTTTTTCTGTTCTCTAGATCAGTATCTATCCGTTTTTACATGTTAACTATTAACATTAAATTACAAGTTGTTAGAATATAGATAAAAATAATGAAATAAAATAAATTTTATCGTACATCCTATAGACGAAGAAGTAGAAGAACACATTAAGAATAGTGAATTCCAATGAACATTGCCTAAATTAATTAATTATTCATCAAAAATTGAAGCTATGTGTCTGTTCTAGTTTAATTAAAATTATATAGACGATGATACATTTTTCAATAAATATATTTTATTTACCTTGACTTTTCGAAACTCTTTGTACAAATGTAGATACTTAAATCGCCAAGAGAATTATGTCAAACGATTCATAGACAAAAAGAAATACAGCCATGATTAGTGAAAGAATTGATCCTCAAGCGACGCCCTCTCTTAAGACATGACTATAGATAAAGTCCTTAAGAAATCACATATATTATTACTGCTACCATTCTTAATAGATGTCACTAGACTACAGAAGATAAATACATATATGTATATATCGTAATCACGCACTAATTATAATTCGATATGTATTAGCTAGAAAATATTGAATCATGTTGGTTCCGCTTGACTTATTCATGTAATGAAGCACAGAGGTGAATATATTGATTTTTGAAACTATTATGTTGATTTTTGTACGCAATTGGTAAGATACAGTTTATGTCGTACGTTCCTCGTGATTCTGAAAACCAAGGGGCTGAACTAGTTGACAATGATCGTATCATTCGTCAGCGTGCTTTACATAGTCATGTAAATTTTAAACCGACTACTGTTATTGATCATATAAAAACAAAAGTCCAAGGAAAACGATCCACGCGTTCCAATTCAAAAGACACATCTATTGTCCCAAATAATACTAATACTACTACTAATAATAATAATAACAATACTAAATACACAAGTCAAGAATATATGAAACCAGCAACAAAGCAAGCATTGGCAATGCCTCTTACTCAATCGAATAACATGTTATCAAAGTCATCGGATCGAAATTCCTTTGCAAGTCAAGACAACATATGCAATGATCGAACTAGTTTGTTCTGTAAATAATTAATATAATCTTGAACATATTAATTTTTATTTTAGATTCACTTAGTGCACAACCTGAAACTCTTGTCAATGGCTCACAAAACATCGATAAAGATGAAAACAGTCCTCGAACTGTTGACTGGGGAATAGGTACAATGGATTCAGATGTTGAAACTAATCAAGTAAGCACGACAGGAACATCTCTGCCTGCTTCAATCAATCAATACAATACAATAAAGCAACGTCCACTAGTCCGATGCAGGGTATAGTTTTCATTAAAAATATTGAGTCATTCTAATGCTTCACATCTTATCCACAATTCAAAGGGTCATTTTTATTACAAAAAATGAGTGGAAATTCATCTTTTTTTTCCAATGAAACTCTTAACGAATGATTAAAACATAACATTGCTATCGTAGATCTAAAAATTCGATAAGCATTAACAAATAACATGGTTTTAGACCATAGACATATACTTTTTGTTGACAACTTGTGGATAGCTCAGAATATTTATCGGTTCGTGTTTCCATAGTGAAAACAAGAAGTTCGTATAAACTAGATTCCAAATATCGACAGTAACGAATTTAAATAATAAATAGAATTTCTTCTGTCAATCTTACGATAGTCAATGACAGAACAATTTACTTTCGTATTGTGAATTATCCACTTTAAAGTTTTTTGATTTTGACATGTCTGTAAAACATACCTTTCCTAGTCTCACACGCATTTACAATTATAAAATGGAAAAAAAAATGCTCTACTGAATTTTAGGCTTTTCAAATTCGTGATGAGGATTTCAAATTAATCTTCAATGATTTACCATCAAGCGAACGATTAATTATTGGTATGTAATTTTTAAATTCCTCGTTTGATTTTATTGATTATCAAATCTAGCTTATCCATGTGCTTGGCGAAAAGATATTTTTATGCATGGAAAAATGTTTCTCTCAGTTAATTATGTCTGCTTTTATGCATGCTTCCTTAAATGGAACGAAAGTGTACGTTGAAATATTTCATGGAATTAATTTTACGTAAAAACAAAATGCTTGTTTTTCTTAAGCTATGCATCGCCTTTAAAGATATTATTAGTATTACAAGAGAAAAATCAGCTAAAGTCGTTCCAAATGCAATCAAATTACGAACGAAAAATGAAGAACATCTTGTTGCAAGCTATATACCAAGAGAACGAATTTTTATTGCAATATTTCGTCTATGGCAAAATGCTTTACTTGAACAGGTAGTATTACGCATGGTCTTCTTAATATACTTAAGGTTTCTTTTTTTTTCATTTTCATAGCAATTAAATTATGAACAATTGCGAACCGTGGTTTATTCTGATCAAATGAATAATGAAGAATCAAGTGACGAGAGTCATGCATCTATTGAACAAGAAAATAACAACAGATACATTGTCAATGTGAGAGACAAGTTATTGAGTACAAATCTTATTCTAACATCACAGATAGTCTGCTCATGAATATAACGAAATTGTGATAACTATGATAGACAATGAATATGGATTAGAAATGTGAAAAAAATCAGTGTCGGGACTAGAAAATGTTTTAACCAAAAGTTCTTTGGAGATGAACATTGAGAGAGAACCATATGCCAGTGGAAATATAGACACTTTGACGTTCATCTGATTCAACAAAAAACTTTAATTTTTATGTTAAATAACATTAAATTAAAGCCATTTTTCACTGAATCACTTAGCAGATCACCCATCAGATTCCACTACGAGATATTGCCAAAAGTTTCTTTTATACGATTCAATCTTGACGAAAATTACAGATAGGATTAGTCTATTACTAGTTTTTGAATCATTGCACTCAGTCGATTAAGAATTTTGAATATTGATTCAAATTTATAACTGATCTAAAAATTCTAGGATTTTGTTCATTCTCAATCATCACCTCAGATGCACTCGAATCCTTCGGTAAAATCAGCTCTAGCATTGACGACAGCCAATGATGAATTCAGTTCATCATTACCAAGTACTATAATTGTATTGAATCGAAAGAAACCTATAATTAATTTCTTCCTATTCAGGTCCAAAACCAATAATTTATGCACAAACATGTCCATGTGAAAATCATCTATCAAGAACATTTGCTGATAGACTATTTTTATGTGATGTTAATACACTTTTTGAATTAGTATTTGGTGATAATCCATTTACACATTCTTATCATGATTCACAAAAATTATTAGGTAACTATTGTATTACACGATGTTTTTCGAAGAATAAATACAATGAATTTGAAATCAATAACTTAGGACTTTGTTTCCCTTTATTTTTTTTTGTCTAAACGGCGAAAGTCACTGAACGGTCAATATTAAAAGTATGAACTAAACAAACTTTAATTGCCTGTTTATTACTCAATAAGAGTTTTTGCACGCTTTTTGTCTGCGTAAAAGTTAAGGAAAGCAATGAATGAATAATAGCAAGACAAACTAAAGTAGAAAAAAAACATTTTCCTGTTCTAAATACATAAGCAAAAGGTAACAAGCGGAAATCCTGCACTCTCGGAGTACGACCTTGTTGCACTTTAGGTGTGCTTCAAAACTATTTTCTTCTCCTAGATTATACTATTGGTGAATGGCTTGTTAATCGTGAAATTGGTAAACGACAGCGTCAAGTAACATACAGAGCAATAACTCAATCGATTCTTGGTACTAATACACTTTTTTGTACGGAAAAACAAGTATGATTTTTCTTTTTGAATTATTCAATACGATACATTTCTAAAATACAAATATATATATATATAGACAATAGAATTTGAAATGTCTCATTCAGCTTACGTTGTTCGCACAGATGTATACAATGAAGGAATGAAATATACGGATGCTTTTTTCGTTGCAACACAATTCTGTTTGTTTCAAAGTGATGCTGAACATTGTGCATTGCGTGTCACTGCTCAAGTAAAATACATTAAAAATGTTAATGCTATCGCTAGAGGTAATAGGATATTTTTCGTCTATCAATTTTTATGTTTGGATCTTTTAGCTTTTATTGAAAAGAATGTCAATGGATCGGTTGAAAGTGGCGTCAATAATCTAAGTAAGTGGAACTGGGTCAAATAATTAGATGTATTAAGATTTAGAGATGAAATTATCGAGAAAAAAAAAACTAAAACAATTTCGTGATTTTCCATTGCAGCTCTACGACTTGAAGCTCGACAAGAGAAATTAAATAATCGTGATTCAAATCGAAAGCTAGTGTCCGCATTGAAACATATTACACCAGAAACGAAAAATGAAGTCAAAAGCCCAACTGAGAAAAAGGAACGTGTATCATTCAGTTCTTCGATTCCATCAAATGAGCGAATAGCAATGAATGAAGATGCATTGAGTACAAGACTTGTACTCAATTTTGCTGTCTTTTTGAGTGTATTCCTTATTCTTCTTCATATTTATCTATGTAATAAGTTACATGATATCGATCAAGCATTATTTGCTCCTGATGTGACTTGTTTGAATCAATGTAAAGAAGGTTTGTTATTCTATTGGTTACTATTGAGACTAATGTTTCTTTTAAATTGACTTTAGCTTGTACAAAAACAATAATTCGTGTGTGAAAAGCATTCTATATTCGCATTATCGTTTAAAAAATATACCGGTACTCCACGAAAAACAATCTCGAGGCATTATTATCTTTTTTAAATTCTTCTTAACATAATTATAAAATTGTACTTTATACACTCGAAAGTAGCGTAGGGATTTGTTTTGCTGCATTTAATAAAGCGTAAATTCATTTTTTCTTAAACTTTTTTCCTTTTACTTAGCGCCTATTATTTACCTAATTCATTTTCGTTAATTTTTAATTCATGTTTATAAACGACATTGACTATGGTTCGTCGGAAATCAAAATTATCTACATTTCGCTGGTTCTATAATGCTATTGCTTTCATACTTGGTATTGTTCCAGAATTATCACCAATTCGTCGTCTACCAACAAAACGCTATAACCGCAGAATTAATATTACACGGCACAATAAACATGCAAAGGCACCTACAAGACGAAAATGTTTGCAAATAGACTCAAATCAAAGCACTAGTGCGAAGACTAATGATATCGGCGGTAGAATATCTGAGGTAAGATACGCAGATCATAAATTGTCTTCTATTTTATGTGTAAAAATTCTCGCATACTGTTATCTAACGAGGAAACAATGGTACAGAATTCATCGAAAGCAATAGAATCACTTGTGATTACAGAAAAGGTTTTGACTAATATAAAGGATCGCATGAACTAGAATTAGGCTAATGAGATAATGGTAACCGTAGGCTTCTTTTTTGCTTTCAATGGTCAGCATTATGGGCTTAGTTTGGCAGTCTCCCTTGATTAATGCGTGAAAAAATACATGCTTATCTTCTTTTTTCGCATAGTTAACAACTATATTCAATAGCAACGGTAATAATCGTAATCTTGAAGATGTAATATGTGACAATAGAAATGTTAATCGATCAACAGAAGATGACCAACAGTACATTTTATACATTCATGTAGAAAGTAAAAATGAAGCTGAATCGATTCAAAAGCTGTTGATAAAACATGCAAAACCTTTTAAAGGCAGCCGTATTATTAATTTGCAAGAACTTACACAGTCGCCTACTGCAGGAATAAATGTGACTCATGAAGATGCTTCGACAATGACCTATACTGAGCATATGTGTCATCAGTTAGCAGTGTGTGCTAGTTTTATGTCACAAACTGAAAATGTACGTCGACTGAAAGCGTTACAATATATTCGACTATTTATTGAAATGAGTAAAGAAGACTTTTTCAATTATCTTATTAATGAAGAACATCTTTGCCAACAGAAAATATCGACTATTTATCAAATTATAAAAGAATTTCTCACAGCTATCTATCAATCAGAATATGAACAGACCAGAAAAAATGCTGCTAACCGCCTAGAATGAATATCTATTATGTAAATTTCATATTAAGAAAACGTTGAACATGAGATTCACGCAAGTTTCTTTATGCCATCTATGGTGTAGAAAATATTGATGTGTTAGGCATACCATTGTAATACTACTATTATATGCTTATTAAATAATTGAAGAAAGCTTTCTCCTTCTTTCACAGGACAGAATAATCATTATATTTAACCTATCAATACTTGTAAACATAATTGTCAAGGTTTAATCATTGAAAAAACTACTGACTCTAACTAATACTTTGCACGTTAACAAACGCGTAGCTTGAAATATCGAGTTCATTTTTTCTCGTAATGACGTCTTGATATTGTCTTCAATTAAATTAAAGTTTTCAGTTAAATCGAAATTTATTCAAGTTGTAAAAAAAGAATCTCTTCATTTCTGTAGATATGTATGTTGTGCAGAATAATTTTCAAAACAAATTCTAATATTCGTTTGTTTCTATCTTATACTTTAGCAGTTGTTCATTGTCACTATTCTTTGATCAATAGCATTCGTCCATAGAATAATTATAACATTTTTTAATTAGTAGCCTACATATCTTCATTTAGCATCAAACTACTTAATTGATGAGGTTTTTTTTATGATGGTATATAAGTATGTATGATTTCAACGCCGCTAGTATTTTCAAATAAATCAAGAAGAATAGACATAATATACCTTTCAGATATTCTGAACAAGACTTGCATGAAATATAGCGTAAAAATCTGTTTAAAGTACAGCAGTACGGCGGTTAGTTTGCCTGAAAGTCGATTTTTGTTTGGGAAAGAAACTACTATCATAACTGCAAGCTTTTTACTTAAAATATTTTGCAGTTTTTAATAAACCTAAACAAAAATATATGCGAGCTTTACGTTCTGGCTCACAACAGCCTAACTTAAGAAATTTTATTCATGATATGCATCACTTATGTTTATTTTTCAATGTTTTAGCGTGGAATCATCTTTTATTTCAGAGAGATTTCTCAGATACGATGACTTGTTTTGTTTAGAGATTTTCTATGGATCCGATTTATTCATTAATATATCTTGAATAGGAAATTATAAAATTTATCATTCTTTTTTCTCACTAGACTTTTTTCGATACATCATTATGTTCCATGGTAGTTGTTTCGGATTTTTTGGTTTAACTTTGATTAGATCAGGCTCAAGCAGATTTTCTCGACCGTCCAATACGTCAATAGTTAAACGTGCTAGATGTAATGTTATAGGTACAGGATGCTTTTCCGGTGAATTAGCCCATTCATCCAATGGCATCCATTGGCAAGCAGCTATTTCGAGTGGATCGAAATTAATCTGCTGATCTTTTTCATCTTCATCTAATGACATTAAGCAAGCGAAATAAACATCGCCGTGTTCGAAGCGAAAATTATTATCGTAGGTGAACGCAAGTACACCACGAAAATGAGCACGAATACCTGTTTCTTCAAATACTTCACGCTCAACACCACATTCAATAGGTTCTCCTAAAATAATTGAAATCACAATAAACCAATTGATATCAGCTTTACATTACCGATGTCAAGAGCACCACCAGGTAATTTGAAATAATCGTCAACATAAGCAAATCGTTCTTGTATAAGTAATACTTCTCGCTTGCTATTCACTACGAGACCACCGACACCGATCGTAGAGATTGCATAAGAAGGTAATGGATTCGGTTCGTTCTCGTCGAGCCAATTTGTTAACATAACATAATCTGGTTTGGCATGATGAAGAACGAAACCAAATTTTTGTGCAATAGAAATAAGTTCAGTTCGATCATGTGGTATTGGANTCAACATAAGCAAATCGTTCTTGTATAAGTAATACTTCTCGCTTGCTATTCACTACGAGACCACCGACACCGATCGTAGAGATTGCATAAGAAGGTAATGGATTCGGTTCGTTCTCGTCGAGCCAATTTGTTAACATAACATAATCTGGTTTGGCATGATGAAGAACGAAACCAAATTTTTGTGCAATAGAAATAAGTTCAGTTCGATCATGTGGTATTGGAAGCCAAATTCCTCTTCGCTTCGCTTCACGCCATGCTAACAATGATTGTTCTAGTTGACGTTCAAATAGAACGCATGTTTTAGCTAGAAGCTCTTTATCGACAGTTATACCGGAGTACATGTCACTACATCCGGTTAACAATTTCGTTTCTACATTTTCTAGTGTAGTCATTTTGTTTCAAAATCTATCTGAATGTGCTGTAACACACCAAGAGAATCAAATTGGAAAGTAGAAAGTGCGATCGACGTCACCACTTAGTAACACCAATCATATATTTTGATTTACTTTTTTGTTTGAAAGACTTTCTCTATATTGGAAATTTTTTCACAGCTGACGATGGTTAACAAAATACAATTGTTAAATATTACAACCAATAATAGCCTATGATGAAAAAAGTAAGTGGCGACAAGTACCAATGAAAACTTGTATAGTGATCAAGTATCCCGATAGATTTATTCCGCATAATGTACAAGAAAAGAAAATTAATTTTATATATCCATTTATCAATGTATGATTATGAATCAATTTAATGGAAGAAAAAGAAATTAATTTGTTGTACACAAACAACTTAAAAATAGTTCAGTAGTGGCAAAATATAGAAAGATTTATAGTTAAAAATTGACTTTTAAGAATATTTATTTTTGATCACTAGATTTTCTACAATACAGCATTGTGTTCCATGGCGGCCGTTCTGGATTTCGTGATTTAATTTCGATTAGATTAGGCTCAAGCAGTTGCTCTCGACCATCTAATACATCAACAGCTAAACGTGCTAGATGTAATGTTATAGGCACAGGATGTTTCTCGGGTGAACTAGCCCACTCATCCAATGACATCCATTTACAAGCAGCTATTTCAAGTGGATCGAAATTAATCTGCTGATCTTCTTCATTCTCGTCCAATGACATCAAACAAGCGAAATAAACATCGCCGTGTCCAAAACGAAATTGTGCCTTATATGTAAATGCAAGTATACCACGAAAATGAGCACGAATACCTGTTTCTTCCAATACTTCACGTTCAACACCACGTTCGAGTGATTCACCTGAAGAAAATTTAAATTAATACAGGCAAATAAAACAAAATGAGATCTAGATTACCGATGTCAAGAGCGCCACCAGGTAATTTAAAATAATCATCAACATAAGCAAATCGTTCTTGTATAAGTAATACTTCTCGCTTGCTATTCACTACGAGACCACCGACACCGATCGTAGAGATTGCATAAGAAGGTAATGGATTCGGTTCGTTCTCGTCGAGCCAATTTGTTAACATAACATAATCTGGTTTGGCATGATGAAGAACGAAACCAAATTTTTGTGCAATAGAAATAAGTTCAGTTCGATCATGTGGTATTGGAAGCCAAATTCCTCTTCGCTTCGCTTCACGCCATGCTAACAATGATTGTTCTAGTTGACGTTCAAATAGAACGCATGTTTTAGCTAAAAGATTTTTATCAACAGTCACACCTGAAAAAATATCACCAGTTCCAGTTAATAATATTATTTTATCGAATTCTTGATCATCTGTGGTGCTCATTTTCGCGAATTTTTATATCGATAAGTTTAAGTAGAATACTTAATTGTAGATATAAGAAAAAACGAAGTCTTATATTATATTATATCCATCTATTTATAGTTGCGGAATTCAATAGCCAATAAAAGCATAACATAACAGACATATACAGCGACAAATAGAGGGAACCGTCAAGCGTAAGTCTTATTTAATTCAAATAAAATTTTCGACTGTAGTATAAATGAATCCAATTAAAGGACTAAGTAGAATCTAGAGGTTGGAACGAAAGGAAATTTGTGACATTTCTCATTCAATACAAGTAGATTAATAATATTGATGTGTGATCAATCAATCGAATTTTAAAATTAAGATTCAATCTCACATCTGGCTACACGATTATTACAACGCCTGTGTTGCATCTCGAACATACTGTCAAATTAGACGATCAAGGTGCCGGTACTATGTCATCAATAGACATTATAATGAAAAGCAAAATCTTCATTTCCTCAAACACTTTTTTGTCAGTTCACGTGGATTTTCTATGATATACCTTTTCATGTCAAACATATTGAAAAGAAAATTTTTATTTAATACAAATAAAAACAAACGAAAACCATTGAGTTTTCATATAAGTATTCACCTTCATCTAGATAAAAATTGATGAAAATGACTGTAAAAACCAGAGAGAACAACTAAATTCATACAAAAAGAAAACCGAACATCTTTACATTCATGCATTCTGAATTTCATTCTTATTATTATTTTCATCCGAAAACATATAAATAATTACAAATCTTGTAGCATAGCCATACGTCTTAAAGTTGTGCCTGATCGTGCCTTTTGTATTGTTGAATATTTATTATCACCAATGGCTACACTTTCTTCATACGCCTTATCCAATGATGTTTGTTGTTCTTCAATTTTTTTTGATTGAATTACATTTTTCAAATCTTGCAATTGTAGTGCTAATTGTGTTTGTTTGTGTTGTTTCTCAAGAAAATGAGCCCTAGATATCAATGAATATTTTGACTCAATGAGAACAAATTCTTTTTTCGTTTAAATTTTAACCTTTCGTCCGTTGAATTTGATTCTTGAGTTTTTTTAATCGGTCGATACTAAAATGAAAACAGATAGCAAAAAAAGTCAAATTTAGAAAGGAACAATAAATTTTACCGGTGGCGGAGATACTGTTGTTGGTCTTGTCGATGATGAAGCGAGATTATGTTGAGTGTGTGTTGTTGCGTTTGAAATAGCAACAGATTGATTATGTTGAGTAATACTTAAAAGCTTTTCTCTTGCAGCTGCTTCAGCTACACGCCATTTAGAAACTTCTAATTTCAATTCATCAGCTTCTTTACGACTAAAAATAAATAAACACATTTAATTGCAGAATGCCAACAAAAAATCGTAAAATTTAGTTTCATTAGTTGTCATATCCTCGCTAAACTACTCGGCAAAACAAAGTCAAATTAATTAGAATTACATGAATAATAAAAATGACAGTTTTTAATTGAAATCAAAACTTACGTTTTTATTGAATCGTTAACTAATGTTGAAATCACTTGTTCACATTCATGAATTTGTCGAGCATATAATCGTTTTTCTTCTTCATTCTTTGGAAATAGAAAAAAAAAAGAATAATTTCTAATTTATTAAATATATTTATCCGTGAAGAACCAGCACAGTATTGAATATTTGATTTCTAATATGTGATAATGTTCTTATAAGACAGAAACTTAAACTTCAATATACGAAAAGGCGATCTTACTAAGCATATCTTTAAAAGTCAACTGGAAAAAGGTATCCGTCGAAGGCAGCTATCTTAAAATGAATTTTCGATTGTAGAAAGATTTAGTTTTTACTAGAATCTGTTTGAACTTACTCGACTTATTTCATATTTACATCGTTCAAGTTGTGCTTCAATTTCAAGTGCTCGTGCGGCTTGTAATCGAGCTTCTTCACTATTTACATGTGCTTTTCGTGCTAATAATTCCGTTGCTTCTTGATATTTAAGCTAGAAATAGGAAGCAAAAAATTTTGATTGAATTCATTAGAAAATTCGAATAACAAACCAATGTTTCATGAACTTCTTTCATTTGTTGTTGATAATCGATACATTTACTTTCGATCTCATCTCGTTGTTTTTCAGCTTGTAATCTCAATTTACGTTCTTGCGCCAATAATCTCATCTTTTCCTGAAACAAAAATATTCGTAGATTCGATGACGTTGGAATTCCGAGACATTTGTTTTTCTTTCGTTACGATGAAAATCTTTTTTCTTATTCAAGCTGTTAGAGATAAGAAATTTTATTCGTTACGACCAACGACGCAAATATGTGTCATGAACTTTATCGTGACATGCACGCACTTATAACGCAGATTTTAATTTTCGACATCATGATAGAAAAGTAAACGCTAAATAGAACGACCTATAGAGATTATGCACTTTCTTTTTATGGCGCATGTTAGACTATGATGTAGAGTAGCAGAAAATAGGTGTAGCCAAAAGCCACTGCTGTCTGCATAGATGTATTTCGTTTCGATAAACAAACGGTTACTACGCAAATTTTGATGTTTTCGTTATCTTATCATCAATAGAAAATCTATTCGACTTATTTGCATTTTAACATATAACCTTTTGTGAATAATTACTTTTTGTTGTTGTTCTTCAAAATATCTCATTTGTTGTATTTCAATCGATTGTTCTTGTCGACGTCTCATATACAATTCATGATTGCCCAATGCTAAATCAAGTATCTAAACAGTCGACCACAAATATTGTGAATTAAGTTTAAAAGGAAAAGAAAACTCTCAAATAAATTTTTACCTCCTTGCTCACAGATGATTTTCTAGCATAGAATGCAAATGTTGCATGTTTATCAGTCGTTAGATTTAATATAACCTAATTTAATATGAGTAAAAAATGTAATCTATACGAAATATTTTCTTTTACTTTTTTATCATGAGCTGTAACAGATTTAACATCACACCATGAGAAGAAAACTTCTGGTCTTAGTTTATTTTTCTTGTAAAAACGAATTCCTAGCGAATCAATTCCAAGCCAAAGTTCTGGCGCAATCGTTGGTTGATCTAACTGTTCTTGTTGTTGATCAGTTGATTTCATTGTTTGTTTTTGCTGTGAAGCAGATCTCTGTGCACCTTGCATTTTTGATATTTCAAAAAATGATAAACCAAACATATCTAAATCTTGTGCATGCTTCAAATAAGACATTTCAGCTTCTTCTCGCGTTAGTAATGCATGTGTACGCCATAAGGCAATTATACGAGCAAACCAATCTGAACGAGATAATTCGATTTTTTGAAAGCATGTTAATGGTAATAAAGCTTCATTTTCTAAATTTACTGACTCCAATGAAGATTCAATTTGTTCATAATCACCAAACTAAAATGGAATTGCATATCAGAAAAATCATAATTTTAGATTTTGTAAAAAAAAGAAAATATTTCAATACGCCTATTCGTATATCTATCATTAAAATTTATATAGTGAATATTTCTATGATGGCCGATTAATATTTTCTGTGCGATTCGATGTTTACCTTTGCTTGAAGTGACAACGAAGCAAGATGTGCAGCAGTATCTGGTGGGCAATAGATATTCATATTAAGAATATCCTGTTTAACTTGTAGATAGAAAAGACGTCGTGTAATATCTTGTATAAGTTCATAAGTAATATCTTCGGGATAGAGTTTCACAGCTAGATAAAGTTCGATGGTTACTTTACTGCATTGTCGACTGGAATTGTTCGTAGCCGATGGAAGACTTAATGTTGATACAGACGTTGGAGGTGAACGTAAAAGATGAGGATTAAAATTATCTGTTGTATTGTGTAAATCGAGGGTTTTCAATGGATTTGAATTAGATGAGATTTCTATTGATTCTGAAATAATCTAAAGATTTCTCTTAGTTAAGATATATTCGTTGACGATTAAGATAACATACCGTACGATTTAATTGAAGCCAATTCAATTCGCGCGATGTTTTATCAATAAATTTAAGACCGAAATACCAATATTCTCGAAGGCCAATCGTTTGACAAACAAGTGAAAAGATTGTACTACCCTTTGTTGTTGCCTAAATAAATCCAAAAAATAATATAAAACCATAATTTGCTAAAATGACTTACTTCAATAGTAAAATGTAATTCTGCATCAAGCGTGAAGATTTTACAATTGTATTCATCTGATTTCTTCTTCCCATTACCGAAGACAGGCATTCGAAGACTAAAGATAATACTATCACTACTACTATTATCTAAAAACAAAATGACAACATTGTTTCTTACTATTCTATTCAAAACATATTTCTCATGTTTACTGATCTTAATATCTCGAAATGAATTCTTATTTGTCTTTTTGTTTTCTTTTGACTTTTACCTGGTTAACAAAATAATCTTTCATCTATATGAAAAATCTATTTCGACATAATTTTTGTTGTAATCAACTTTATGTGCCGATTTTTTCGTCTTATTGACGTTTTCGAGCAATAGCAGAACGCATGTGTGACATTATCGACGAGAATTAAATATGCCGACGAACAGAATCAATCGTTCTCACTTTCTTTTTTTTGTGTGTTTTTTTTCCTGCTACACAAGAAACCACATGCCATACATACCTTTGTCTATTTTTTTTCGTTTTTCTTTTTTTACATTTCTCATGCCGACACTATACTGGTATACCACAGAGCATTGTTGATTCGTTTACAATGAATTTATAACTACATCAGATTCTTGTTTTTTCGTTATTACTATTATTAATTTCATTAAAAAGCGTTTTGCAGAAAAATGATGAACAACATGAGTCATGAAAATATTTCAACAGCATAGTTAAAATAAATGAATAGCAAAGTGTATTGACAGAATTTACATAACTTAGATAATGGAATGTATTCACAATCATCGCTATGTGTGCACATGATGTTGAATTCATATGATAATACTTGTTTGACTATGCATTATAGAGCAACGTGCAGAAGACTCATTTTGATATATCTATTTTTGAAAGAAAAATTCCTGCGTGCATTGAGTAGAATAACTTAAAACATTATTCAGCAGACATTTAATCAGGTGTGTTAAAGAAGTGTAATAGAATTTAAACGAGTTTAGATCTATAAACGGCATTGGTATGGAATAGTGAACTATGAATAAATCGATGAAGATTGCCTACATGTGGAAAAAAATTAATTGATTAAAAAGAATAATCTAAGTCTAATGATATTAAACAAAAAAAATGTAAGACGAACAGTATAATTACTTGTCAAAATAATGATGTGTGTTCTTTTTTTACTGAAAAAGGATTTTTAATGTTTTTGCTCTATACTGAAATGTTTCTTTTGATATATTAAAAAGAAAATTTCCTTTGCAATTATATTCGATCACTCCTAAGTATTTTGTGATTAAATAAGTGTATTTTTAGTACATTATATGCACAAAATCTCGGCAAGGTGCATTTCTTCTAATACAAGTAAAGTGCAGAAAGAAAGATTACTTCAAAATGACAAAAAGAATCGTTCTTCCCCAAAAAAATAAATCCATCAAAGCTTTGTAATACTGTACTTGTAATGATGCTTCATATTGTTTCGAATTCTTTCGTTTTTTTGTATTTGCTTGCTTGAAACTGTATTTCTGAAAAAATCATGAGTCATTCACTGCTTGCTCTATTAATTAGACAAGATAAATTGCAATTTTATTATTGATACGATATTCATCGTTTGGCACTGTAATAGATTTCAAAATCAAAACTCTTAAAAGTGTAATATATGTAACAGATTGTACAAGCACACAAGACAAGTCTGCCCTCTGTCGGTAAAATGTTAGAAACTTATTTGCATCCCATCAAAATGTTTAACAGAAAACAAATTGCAATATATCATATCGGACTACACAGATATAATATGCGATTCACTGAACGTTTCAACTAAAAACAATCCTAGGTTCTATTTTTCCTGTAAATGCAACGGATTTCCCGACTTTTCGATTCATCTTGAGCAGGGGCGTAAGTCAGGTCTCAGAGCAGGGGGGGCGTAAATTTTTTTTCTTCTGTTTTGGTGAACAAAAAAAAAACAAATTTTCAAAAGCAGGAGGGCGTTACGCCCCACTCGCCCCCCTCCCCCTATTTACGCTCCTGATCTTGAGTGTCCGATGTGGAATGGATTTTCAGAGAGGTTGAAATAATAAAATTTTTCTGTACTAATAGTTATTGTATTCAAGTTAAACCAGTTGCTAAAATTGCTGTCATGATTTTTACTTTATTTAATACTGTACAAAATAACAAACATAAGTCATTTTAGAAAATTAACATACAATGACCTTACGTGCCCATTTATTATTCATCGGTTGTAAACCAAAAATAAATTCAATGAACAGATAGTGTTGTTCATTAATTATAATTGACTTTGGATACCGATGGATAAAATCAAAAACAATTGATTTGTTAACAATACTTTTAATCTTAAACAATCGACTAATAAATTTTTTTTCGAACCATTAAAAAAAACAAAAAACAAATTTAATAATGACGAGTAATCCGATCGGAACTACTTCAACATATTACCTCCAATGTATACTTTAACATGAACCACTATTGATCTTTCTCACACATTTTCAAGCTATCCGTTTCCTTGTTTTATGATACAAACTGAGAATAATGTCGGCATTTGTTGAATATATATATATATATATATAACAAAACAAAACAATCATACAAAAAAAAATAATATATATATATAACTTCTATAAAATAAGACAGCGGAACCGGAACAGACATCAATTCAAAGAGATTGTACGCGGGCAAGCGTGAACAAATGTATATATATATATATATCATCGGGCATATTTCAATTGAATATACTGTATATTGACACCTAAAGAGAGATGATACTCTTTCACTTGATTGTGAATAACAGAGAGAAGAAAAAAAGTCACATAGAGATGCCAATTTTGTTTGACTTATACGCACGAGAGATCACCACCATATGCCCATCGAACTAGACAAGCGACACAGTGATTGAGATGCAAATATAATATGGATGCGCTTGTCTCAGTATATACATATATATATATATACCCGCACTACAGGGACGCTGTACATCAAGAAGTAACATATTCATTATAGACTCATCGCAAGACAATGCTCACGAGAAAAAAAGAAAGGAAGAGAAAGAATCAATCCAGCTGATACAACCATCTGGTCTCCCTTTTGATTAGCTCTACTCGTTCTAAATCCCTTTCTTCTCTGCCATCAGATCAGAAAAAAAAAAGAAAAGAAAAGTAATCCGCTATCGTTGAATCCTTCCTTCATTCTTAATGATCTGTTGACTTTCTTTTCTTGTCACTTGTCTATCAAGACGATTCAGGTAAGTATAGTACATTGATAACTTTGTGTTATTTTTTTTTTCTTTGTTTTGTTTATGACAGTATCACACAAAATATATAGAGAAAGCCAAAAAAAGAGGAGAAACACTGTGTAAAGTGTATAACAAGTGAAAAAAAACTCGAAAGAAAGAAAAATGGTTACAAATGTGTTGGATAATGATATTCATAATAGTCTCCGGTTGTTCCTGTCGGTGTCGATGATGGACTTGGACTATCGGTATTATTATTATGATGATGATGATTGTTCGATGCTGACGCTGTACCGTTTTCTAATGGTGGTGTAACACGTTTTTCTTTTTGTCGTCGATTACAAAACCATACACGAACAACTTCTTTTTCAAGTTGTAATTGATCCGCTAACTGTGCTATATCTTGTGCAGCTGGTTTAGGATTACGTGCAAAATTTATTTCAAGTGCTTGCTTTATACTAACTTCAATCGATGTACGTTTTTTACGTTTACGTCCGCTAGCAGCAATTTTCTCCATTGAATTTGATGTGCCTGTTTGAGATTCGGAATCTTCTAGCCATTTGGCTAATAGTGGACGTAATTTACACATATTTTTAAAACTTAATTGTAATGCTTCAAAACGACATATTGTTGTTTGACTAAAAACATTTCCATAGAGATTACCAAGTGCAAGGCCAACATCAGCTTGTGTATAACCAAGTTTAATACGTCGTTGTTTGAATTGTTTTGAAAAACGATTTAAATCATTATTATCAATATTTATTTGATGATCATCATCATCATTAATCGATTGATTATTAGGTGTATGAATTAAATTTAGATCATTATCTTCAAGCGATGATGATGTTGGCGGTGGTAAAGATGTTGGTACTTGAAAATGATGTTCATGATCAGTCGATGATGAACCATAGGTTGGAATAAATTGGTGATTTGTTAAATAAGGTTGATGATGAGGGTAATTGGACGATGGATAATAATTCGAATGATTTGTTGGCCAATAGTCTTCAATTGATAGTCCATGTTGTTTATGTGGATGATGTTGCATAATAACTGGCCAAGCTGTACTATTTAACGGACTTGTTGATGATGGAGAAATACTTTTTCGTTCGTTAATATTATTTGTACTGTTACTTGTTGTAAATAAATAATTATGATTTGGTTTAATATCATTTTGTTGTAGAATTAAATCATTTGATGAATCGGATGATGCTGAATAAAAAAATGGATTTGATGATGATGATGTATCATGTTGATGTTGTTGATGAAATGGATGTAAATGATGTGTATGAATATGATGATGATGTAGAGCATATGCTGTTGCTGCAGCAACGGTTGACGGTGATGTTGACATGATTTGAGAGAAAAATCATTAACAAAAAAATAACTAAAATGATTAAGAAAAAGAAAAAAAATATAGAAATTAATTACTAATTTATCTTTAGTTTTTTTGTGATTTATTTTTCTTTTATTCGGTTTCATTTTTTTCCTCTTATTACTCACCATTATTTTCTATCAATTGAATTAACGTAGATAGATATATATATGTAGGAAATAATCAGATAAACTGAAATCGGCTACTGAATATACGGTGGTGGTGATGGTGGGTGCTTGAAAAAGAGAAAATACAACACTGCTGAGAATCGTAGTGTTTATTTGAATATCAATATGAGAATAGAGGGATAGCTGTCGGTACTCGTGCTGGTTTTGAATGCAAATGAAATTCAGATTTGCCGCCGTCCGATGCTTCTTCTGTCAAGAAGTTGCTCTCTTTCTTCTATGGCCTAGTCGATGACAAGATAGCTTCTCTTTATTTGTGTATGTATGCATGCAACAAGTGCATCGAACGCGAGAGAGTGAGAGAAGCAAGAAAGAGGAGGAAAACGGGTTGGTTGATTGAAGGAGTAGGAACTTGAATTTTTTTGATTGGATAGTATGACCTTTAGGGAGAGAAAAAAAAGAAGAAAAAGAATGATCGGATTCCTTTTCTTTTTTTTGCTTTTCTTCGCTTTTTTTTGATCGTTGCCATTGCGTGATTGATGGATCTAATCGTATGTGTGTACACAAGACATTTCCTGTGTCACATAGAGAGGGACAGAGAGAGAGAGAGAGAAAGAAAAAAATGAAGAAATGATAGTGAAAAGAAACAAACAAACATATAGCAGATGGTTCGATCAGTTGGAGATCGTCTATTTGTAATTAGACAAGTCTAGAAAAAATACAACTTGAAAATTAAATTAGCTAGTTGTTTTTTCTGACTAGCTAGTCAAGATCAGAGATACGGGAAATTAGACTAATCGAGTTGTTCTTTGTCATCGTTCCTTGTATTGGATACAGTTAATAGAGAAAAAAGAAAAGTTGATCAACGATCGACTCTAATTACAAGGCTTCTCTTCTCTTATCGAAAGAAAAGAAGCTAAAACTAATCCTTTTGCACCTTGATAAATGTACACACGACCTTTCCAACACCTATATTTCGTTTATAATGACGGATTTGGACGTTACGCTTTTTTTTGTTCCTCATTTCAACCTACACATTATATTTATTATGAAAAACAATATATGGATATAGGTTTCACTGGTTTTGACTTGTTTGAGTTTTATTTTGTTCTCCCTTGATACCTTGAAAAAAGAGAAGCATCACGCATACACACTCAAATAATCAACAGTTGGCACTTGCCCACCTTAAAACAAATATGGGAAACAAAGGAAAAAAGACACATAACAATACACAAACATATGCACGTGCTAAGTCACAAGAGAATGAAATCTTCAATTCAATAATAAGCAAATAAAACTCGAAAATTTTCTTTTTCTGTGTTAAATGCATGATCACATTATTATCTCTAGTCAGTCTTTTTTTCTTTTTGCATATATGCTAATTTTGCCCCTTCCTGTTGGATTCTTCTTCGAAGACAAGAAGAAGAGGAAGAATAACAAAAATCTCTCTACATATTGTTGTTAATACTATTCTATAGACTTTTTAGTTTATATTGATATCATTTAATCATATTCTTTTTTTTTAGTTTAGTAGTCTTCAAAAAGAAAAAATATTCATGCGGCATCGATCATATTTCTATTAGATCTATACAATACTACTCTTTATGGCTCACACATCTTGTTGACATTTTCTAGAAATTTACTGAAGCGAACTTTAATCGAATTAGAAATCTACACTGAATGGATACATAAACATTTATATATATATATATAAATGAAAGAAAAAAAAAACTTATATTCTATGTCAATAATCAATGATTTTAATTATGGTTTTTTTCCTAGAAAATAATTTGATTGGTCGTTTTCTTATTTGTCCAAAAGAGCAAAAAGAAGAAAACGAAATAGACTGCATGTCAATAAGTACCGATCTGATTTCGTTGAAAGAAAGAAAAAAAAAGAAGAAGAGATGACAGTAAGACGAAGAGTAAAGTCAAGCATGCATATTTATATGAATTGAATTGATCTATTCATAAATATGCGCAGATGAACAAAAGAATAACAAGACAAGACTATCAATCATTTGTACAGTGAAGCAGATGAGTCCAATCAAGAGAACGGATGGCAATGGGTGGAGTCAACAAGATAAAGACGTGACGTACATCTATAAATGATTTTTATCAATTCGAAGAGAATTTTTCTTTTTAATTAGTTGATTGAGATAGAGTGAATAAAATTAACACTAGTGTTTTGTAGGAGTCAAAAAACAGACCGACTTTAACAAAAAAGAAAAAAACTATCTATATATATATATATATATTTACTTGACGTATTAAAAAGCAATATTGTGAATATCAAAAAAATGAAACAAGCTAAAACATCATTCCATTGAGTTATTTTACCCTTTTGTTTTCTTCGTGTCTAATCTTATTAACCAATGATGACAAGCAATTGACGATACTCGAACTCTTCTTTCTTTTTCTATATATATTTCAATGTTTCATCGGCTTTTATATGATATGATGGCTATTAAACAAAGATAGATCAATTTCAAGTGATGGCTTTATTTTTTACTCGCCGCACGCACGACTTGTTCCGTCATATATATATATATAAATGTGCACATGTTCGTGTGAGTCTATGTCAGTAAACAGTAACTACTAGAACAAGTGGCAAATGATTGTCAATACTAATGGAACGCGACCCATTTACTTGTTACTCGTTTATGACTCGTGTCAAATTACTCACTTTGAATTGTCATCAACATTATTGCTGTCAGTAGAGGACGCCCAATGACGTTCAACCAATATATTTGAGTACCATAGAATTGTTCGAACATGTTGCAGATATCTTTCTAAAATATACTTGAAGAACATTGAATATGTCTATTCGATGAATCTCAAGCTGACTATTCGAAAAAGAAACAGTATGAAATCATTACTAAATTCTTGCCATTTGAAATGAAAGAAAATTTTTACTATGAGAATAAATTTCAGTTTATACGAGTGATCGAAAGTCGTAAATTTTCACACGTACATGTTTCACTCTTATGAGTGTTACGAAACTAAAGACGATGACTTTTAGATTCATAAGATGTGGTTCCCTTTTTTTTCTTTAAAAAAAAGCCTTTTCGATCTTCCCAATAGAAACAAACTGAAAATATATGTTGATTAGCATATCTTGCAAACACTATGAAAACATTTCGAACTTTTCTCTTAACGTGACATGAAAAGTGCTTACATTAAATCAAAGTCAAGTTTAGAGAAATTTTATACACACATGTATAAAGCAAAAATTTCAATGTCGAACAAATTTTCAATCTACTTCTCCCTATATTGAACAAAAGGTATTCCGAAAGTTCTAGACATACTCAAAGTTCAAATCACTGCCGTGCATGTCTTTGAAAAAAAATTAATTTCGTAGAATTTCTTTCTACCGCCTAGTTTTCCGATTACAATTAGATACTTAAGTAAAACAGAAAAAACATTTCCGTCTTAGAAAAAAAGGTAAGTCTATTTACATCCGGTCAGATCAACTTCTATAGGTGAATAACACCACAATGGAAATCGAATCTACATTTCAACTTTCTATTTTATTTTAAAACTAGTCAACAATGAAAGAACTAAGGTTATTTTTAAAAACTTCTACGAATCTTCTATCATCGAAGGTGTAGAATATATACATATATCAGATTTATATTTAAAATTATGAAAATCTTTCTTACCACGTAATAAAGTCGATGAATATCATCCTTCTTCTTTTACATCTTTCGTCTTGCATTTATCGAGAAAACTCGAGAAAGTGACAACGAAAAAAGAAGAGAAGAGAGAACTGCAGAGAGAAGAATTATCATAAACTGAATGCAATAAAATGAATATACATACTATTTGCATACATAACGGAGTGCGCGGACACGAGCTCCTGTTCGCTTCTCAGCTATGAGAAGATGCAAGATTGTTACGTTCACGGCGCGAGGAAGAGAAAAAAAGAATTTTTAAGACATTGCCTAATGAGATCAAATTTGAATTTGAATATATATGCATATTCTCTTCTTATTTCATTACTTAGTGTACAAAAAAAAAGAAAGCCGATCATTCTTTTCTACTTGTAAAAATTGTCCGAAACGATGGCAATAGAAAATAATCATAAAGAAAAATAATTCATTCAATTCTTTATGTGTCTTGTTTATTCGATAAATAGATAATCATAGTTCAATAGACCACAACAATAAAATAATACCTTTTGTAATACGAAACAGAGCATTCACCATATTCGATGATAGTTGTCAGCGACAAATCATATAAAACATGTAGCTTTTCATTTCGTCTCATTTTTTTTTGCTGTCTAATTGATTATGCATACATCATCTCTGCTTCTGTCGTCGTCGTCGTCGTCGTCGTCGTCATCATTATCATCATATTATATGACCTCACACTGATTTTTTATTCATGTAAATTTTCTTTTTCTACATCATTGATATATATATAAATAAATGCTGATCTGATGGTCATTATTATTGCAGACAAGAGATCGGTTATAGTCTACTTGCTGAAAAGAGTGCGACCGAGAAAGAATCCTTCTTTTGAATGCTAATTTCAACAAATGTATTCTTACAGATTCCATCACTTTTGTTTAGCAACACCATCATGATTTGTCGTAGAAGAAAAAGAAAGTAAGACATGATATTTATTTTTAAAGATGATACACCTCGATTCTTCACGTAAGATTCGAGGGTTTACCATTATTTATATTCTAGTTAATCATTAGTAAAAATTAACAAGTGAAAAGAAAACGGTATAGACGATCATCTAGTCTTATAAAAGAATCATTATAGCATGTTGAAAACTCCACTTATGATTTGGATTTACTGAATAAATTTGTCTTTCTTTTTTATTGAGTATTCGCGAGGATATTACATTTAAATTTTGATTATAGTATTAATCGAAAATAGACATATATCCATTCATACATAAGAGTAATTCGAACTCATATTCATAGGAAAACAAGAGCTTTCTGATTATCATGTTGATTAATGCGAAAAACATGACAATGACTTAGCATTTTTTGTCTATCACAGATCCTGTATTGTTGTAGCAAATAATTCAGTTATGTCAAAAGTTAATTTATGTGAATTGATGAAAACTAGGCGAAGAATTTCATAGACATAAATAGATGTCTATACGATACATAGACTATGAACTTTTTCTATGCACTCATATTCTAATCCCATTTGATCAAGATGATTACATTAACTTCGAATATATACTTACAAAAAAATTTCCTATTATATCAATACACAGCGAAAGAAAGTACAAACGCACGAAAGCATTGCTTTCATCTCGTCCTTATCCTAAGGACTGCCCACTTGAGATCAGATAAAATTATAACCATGATCTTCATTTAACATCCCAGGGCGATTATTATGCCCATTGAAAACAATGACTCATCATAACAGTATTTTTGAATATAAGATTGCTGTTCTCAGACAAACTGAAAAAAAAGAAATGTGTTCTTTACATATTTTATTTTTATTATGTACACTTCAAGGCCCACTTTGACCTTTATTTTCTAATATTTATTTTCATTCTTGACAAATTATACAAACAAGATAAATCAATCAAATTCATTTTCTTTTATTGAATAGCGACATACACAAACAGCTAATATCAATGCAGTTAACTAAAAATGGAAAATAAAATTTTCAATTTACAAAATAAAATTCATACCTCATACAGTGCAACACCAATTCCAACGCCAACAATATATCTTGAATAGACATTTATATATTTATTAATTGCTTGAAAACATCCAACTTGATATGAATCAATTTCAAGGCACACTCCATTTAATAAATGAGTACAACATGACAATGGAAGATTACGATCCGACATTTTATAATTGATAGTATTAAAAAAATCCGATGAACCATCGATACCACAACATTCAAACTAAAGAGATATTTTTTTTTTTAAAGAAGTTTGTAATCATTTCAAAAAAATACTTTTCTAATGTATTGAGAAAAAAACATTTGTTCGAAAGAAACAGATGATTCAGTTGAAATCCTACCTGTGAATTTTTCATCAATTTCAGTTCATTCATATTGACGGACTTTAACTAGTGACCTACAATCTCAATTGTTTAATATTTAATCTTAATCTAAGCCTCATACAGTCACTTCATTTCACATGCAGTCATGTATAATAGATGAGATCCTTCTGTTACTTTTCTTCGTCATCTACCTGTTTATGAATGATATCCAAATCATATTCAAAATGTTGTGGTGTCGAATAATTATATTTTAAAAGTCGAATTTTTAATTTTTTTGATAGCCGATGATTCCATTCATCACTTAATAATACCGTATACATAGCAACAATCAATTCGCTACCCATCACAAGTATAATACAGAATACATACTAACAAAAAATAAAATAAAATTCTTAATTCATTAACATTCGAAGTCTACTTACGATGCCAAGTAAATATCGAGATTCTCGAACAGAACCACAACAACCAAGTAAACCAATAATAAAGATAAATGCGCCAATGCCAATTAGAATATAACCAATGTTATGAATAGATGGTACAAATTGAGAATCATAAGATAGAATTGCAAATAATTGACGGAAATCATGTTTATACAAAATAAGAATTCCAAAACTTAAAAAAGCACCGCCAGATAACTAAAAATAAAACATTTTACAATTGAATGAATATTTTTTTAATAAAATTCAATGTAATCATGCATTCATAATCGATCAATAAAATGTTCTTAACAATTCAATAACCGTGAAAACAATATATATATATTTTTTTTTATACACTTGATTGAATAGAAAAATGTAAATTATAAAAAGAAGTATGATTTTTTAATTCAATCGAAAAAAATGCATAACCGATCGATTAGGTCAAATAGATTTCTGAGAAAATATATTCAATATCTTACCCAAATAATTAAATTAAAGAATAAGAGAAAATATTTCGCACATAAACAGCAGGCCATCATTGATAATCTGATTGTTACAGTCGAAAATTTCTGGTGTAAGATAGAGAAAGGAGAAGAAGAAAAAGCTCCGATGACCAATTGTTACAAATGTCAAGTGTCAATGGCGGACGAAGAGCGAGCGAAATGATGCTATGCTTCGTCTCTCTTTCACGCGACAATTAGAAGGAGAACGCCACACTATTGCTATTGTCCGTTCACCTTCGACGACAACAAGGTCTGTGCAAATAAGCAAAAAGGAAGAACAACGGCGAACCATAGGATGAAGTTCATTCTTCTTCTCTCTTCTTCTTTTTTTTGTTCTCTGTCCATTACTTTTAAATGTTAAGCCATTGTGCATATTGAATGAGTTTCTTTAGATGCTGCTAGTAACGCTGTCGCCCTCAATTATTAAAATATGAAAAAAATATACGTGTATACGCAAAGAAAGAGAGAGAGAGAAAGAATGACATGAATTAATCGAGAGCAGTGACCGGTGTCTTTCTTTATTTCTTCCCTAATGGATTGAAGTCAAAATGACCTGTATTGTACAGGAGAGAGAGAGAAGGAATGATTTGTTTCCTTTTTCTTCTTCTTCCAAGAAAAGAAATTGTTCTAACGCACAATAGTGTTATTAACATTGAAAAGAAAAAAAAAACAGGAAATGAACAAATGTGCCCATTGAGAATTGATATAAATCTTCTGTGTGTTGAGTTAAAAACTTGATTTAGAATACATATGCTCATGGTTCTTTTTTCAAACTATTTCCATTGGTAGACAAAGCGGAAACAGTAAAAATAGTCTTTTGACATCACCTAAATCTGGTGTAAATTTTAAATTAAACAAAGGCTCGTTCAGCGTTGAATAGCAGTAATGGTCTATTATCATGTACAAGTTACTGTTCACAGAAGGAGATAATGTAGCGTTGACATTTTTGTAATGAGATAGTAATATGAAATTTTACAAAGAAACACGTCCTTTTTGCTTTATTACACTTATTATTCTACATTCTAATTATGTCTAACAGGACGCGTGCCCTACATATCAATTAGATGTCATCTGCTACCGATGGCAATCATATTTTTTACTAAAGAAAAATCATGAGTCATAAAACAAAGCAAGAAAAAAATACATACATAGCTGAATCTAGAAGCATTCATTTTACTGACATACTCTATCGGAAGACAATTCTTGTACCATTAAATGAGTTAGACTTACGTTATAAAGTGAACTTGTAATTAGAGGTGTCAGCCGAAGGGTTGAACGGCGACGGCGGGCAACAATTTTCAATTTTTGAAGATTTCCAGCGACTCGTTATTTGAATGAGTAATGTCTTCAGCGGCGGCTGCTACAAATTCTTAAAATCTTTTTCACAGCGGCGGCGTCGGCTGATATTTGTAAGTCCTTATGTGGCGGCGGCGGCTCAGTTAAGAATTCACTGACGAAAATTAAAAGAAAAATGTTCGATTCGATCGCATATGTACTAATGTCAGCGGCGGCTCAGTCGTACGGCTGACACCTCTACTTGTAATGATATAATTTCTAAAGTTGATTGGACAAATTCTGAAATTAGAGGAAGACATACTTCAGTGAGTGTATTCGTTATTGAAAAGTGCGCATAAAGAAATGTAGATTGGAAATAATTTAATAAATACGACAGTGTGACTTTGAGTGATGATGAGCTTGGTCCTGGCTTCTATTGAAATAGATAACCACCTAGTTGAAATGATTTTTTGTCAACAATCAACTATAGTGGACACTCTATGTATCATTTGAAAACATCGTGAGTATGATCGAGATCAACATATAGAGTAATATTGTTTAACTATAAAAGAGCGAAAGATTGGTTATATCCTAAATAAGTAGAGCCAAACAAAGCACAGTGTTCATTATCGATGTCAAGGAGAAAGAAATTTCTTTTTCATTTTAAGATCTATAATCTATAAATATAGCATTCATTTGAAATATCCTTACACAGTTCGAATGATACTTTTATTGTATGATGAAACTATAGAGTTCAAATAGATATTAGTTGGGTTTGTCGGCGTTGAAGCGAGATATAATTTGAGTTAGTCTTTGTTTCATTCATACTCAATAGTAGTTCGTTACTAAAGTTACACTTCCAGGTTTGATAAAAATCCAAATTTTGAGTTTTGGATATCATAATTTAGTACAAATAGGCTTGTAATGTAAAAACCTATATTGCCGATTACAAATGATTTTCATCCGCAAATAGCATTACTGTTATTCATTCTTTTCATTCTAATGCATATTTTTTTTATTTAATTAATAAAACGAATACATGAAACCTTGCATGTTTTATTAAAGTTCTGAAACGGAGAGAAAACACGAGTTCAAAATCGTGTATTTTTCAGGTAATAACCATTCAAGTCTTTTTTTCTTTGTTTAAAATATCTAATCCATACTTGAACTAAATGCGATCCCATGACAACAACTAATGCTATTATAACTAACCATGCCTAAATAAAAAAATAAAGAAATATGTCTTAGTGATCTAAAATGTAACTTACTCTCCATGCTGCAGTAATCGGATCAGTTAATTTAATAAGTCCAAACTGTACGAAAGTAACAGCTCCAACAATAGTCCACATGATTCCAGTTAATCGACCGATATATGCAGATGGAAAACTTCAAATGAAAATATTATTGATGTAAAGATATAAATAAAGAACGTACAATGTTGATATAACAGCTTGACATGCAGCCACGATTGTTGCTCGTGATAGACAATTTATTATTAATAATGGAATAAGAATATTCGATGATAAAAATATTGGAATAATACACAAAATAATATTCAATAGCCATGAGCCCGTTTCAACAAGTGCAACATTCAAGAATTTTTGTGTTTTACCTCAAATATTAATTTAACATATTTCGCTTATTCAATAGTAAATTTACTTTTGCTAGCATTATATCCAAGTAAAAATCCATTGATTGGACAAATTATGATTGAGGACAATGTGGAAACATTGTATGCAAATGTATATTTATTTGCTAAAATATTTAATGAAAAGTATATATTTTACGCGATAGAATATAATGCAAATTCGGTTGAAATGCGATGTTACGTTAACAATGGGATCAAAATTGTACCTACTATTTTAAATTCTAATTTAAAATTTTTACTGAGCATCACTCATCATTCGCTCGATATGTAAGAAATTGTTTTTCTGTGAATATCTTGCTTGAACTTCACTAGCCCAAAAAAAAAGCAAGACAATAGGATTAGGAGTTGTCACCATCCATTATAACTATCATTTTAATCATTGCTTTCTTCTCTTTTCCTTCGCTTGATAAAGGTCAAAAGCAGAACAAAAACCTCCCCTACACTAATAGAAGGCCTGCCAGTAAAACCCGTTGGATAGAATCCGAGTGAAAACAAGTCCGTATCCTAAAATATTGAACTCTACTTATCAGGATAGCCTTTTAGTTTTATCTTATTCGTAGAAAATATATTGCCTACTTCAAAAATTTAAAACTGCCCATTGAATGTAACTTTTCAGCTCTACAAAAAAAAGGACACAGCTGCACTACTGAGAAATTAAAAAAGATTCTACAGACTATGATATTTCAATGTGATCAAAGGATTTATGATTTTTCGAGAGAAAAGTTTCGAACCGTATATTATTATAAATACCTAATGATTCATCATCTCCTGTAATATATGTAATAAATGGTTCCCAAAAAACCGAAAGAAATACACTTGGAATTAAAACAATACTTAGAAATAAAACAACTAAGATATACAATGGACTTCGAAGATTTTTCCATAGAGTATTTCGATTTGATTCCTCTAAAATACAAAAGAAAATATGACGTTTTTTGTTTTAGCAAAACTTTGCTTTTATACCTTCATCTGCTACTTCGAGATGAATATCAAATTTATAGGGTAGTTTAAGAAATGAATATTTCCAATCAAGAAATAAAAATGACGTTAAAAACATTATTAAACCAAATGCTAACCAAATATAAGCTAAATGACTCAATTCCATTTTCCCATTGTCAATTAATACCTGTGGAAAAACGGCTTTTCATTATTCATTGAAAATTATTTTAAAAGATAAGTCTTTACTTGAAATACTGAAAACCACATTGTAGATGAAATTCCAGCTCCAGCTAATAATGATGCTACAAATGCGCGTGATGTTGAAAAATAATTTGATGATGCATAAGTTGTTATTACAACTACGATTCCACTCAATGATGAAAATACGCAATGAATGTATAACAGATAATCGCGGCCTTAAATTTCATTCATTTCAATTTAAAAAAGAAAAAGAAATACTCTGCTTTTCCCAGCTACCTGGCTTCAACAATGCTAATGATACCCATCCAATGATATGACATATTCTTGAAACAGACAAACAAACATAATCAAAATAAAATTTCCCAAGACAAAAGACTCATTACATGGAAATTAATTTAACAAAACGACAACCGAATTTATCGATAAGGATTCCAACAAAAAACGATGGTAAATCAAAGAAAGCAATTCCCAGTGTCAAAGCATTCTTGAATAGAAAGTTAAATAGTATTTTATCAAAAACAATCATCTACAATGAACTAGTTACTTGATATTGTGTGAGCTGTTCTACACATGAGCCCGCTGTTGTTGGTGTTGATGAACATAGATTTTCATAGATTTTATTTCGAGATAAAACTTTAAAAATAGCTTGAAAACCATAGATCGTTCCGCCAAGAAGATTCATTTCTACCAATAACAACAATACACCTAACCATTTTCGATAAACATGCTTCTCTCTGGGAGTATCCATTGTTATTGTTTTGAATTATCTTGAAAAATGAAAATGTTTCATATTTTATTGGGTTAACCTTTATCAGAAAAAAATCCTCGAATGACATTTCTTATTTGACAGATTTAACATTTTCTTTTCTCCTCTTTTTTTTTGTCTTTGTCATGAGATCAATCATTCAACAATTTTCAAAGAATCTCAATAGATCATTGTACACGTGTATTGGTTGATGTTATCATTAATTATTCTCTCTAGAATAGAGGAACTCAATTGCTTTTTTCTTACAAATATTGAGAAAATTACTGAGACAAATGCGGATGTGTTTATCTGTTTGAATAAAAGCAAAAGAAAGAAAAGAAAATCGATCTTTGAGAATGATTATTTGCTTTTGACTGATCTTCCCATATTCATGGTAGGATAGAATAGCAAAATTCGTTTATTTAACTAACACATCATGACCTAAAAAATGATGAGCTACGATGTTCAACATTACGAATGAAATCTTTATATTTCACTAAGAAAATATATTAATATTAACAAACCTAATATATGCACAACTTTAGTACTACTATGTGTTGTGTTAATCAAAATCAAAATTGTCTTGGAATATAAGTCATGTCTAACATGAAATGGTTTCAAAACGTGTTTATCACGTATTTAATCAACGTTTTGCCTTGAGAATTTATGGAAAAACTATTTTAGGTCTTGATTACTTTATAAATATGCGAATAATTGCTCAAATATTATCGAGAATTCTTTACTCAATGTCTGAGAAGTGAAAAATAATATTACATTCACATGTTGACTAATTACTAGAAATCTTTGAAGCTTGTGCTAATCTTATTATAAAGATTCATCAATAACCATAACTTCGAAGTTGAATGGTGTCCCAAATATAAGTGTAGCCTCCTTGGTTGAGGTTTCTTTAGTATTGTATAAATATCCGGACACTTTATACAAAATCGAAACTGTTAGTAATCGTTGCCTTTTTAACTGCAAAGTATCTTTTTAAAATATTTCTTCAAAATAAACAAAGTGTTATGTTGGCAGTACGAGTACTGACTGCAGTGCTTTGGATGTTACTCAAGAGGAAACTTGCTTACATCCACTTTTTTTGAAAAATAAAAATCTTATGATGAGATTAAATTCACAATAAGTATTAACCCATTGAAAGCATTCGATCATTTTTGAATTCGACTACCACTGGTGCAATAATCTTGTATAAGCGGTTATCAGGTACGTTTATATTGATGGTTTGCTTCATCTGAAAAACAAACCTTCACAACAGAATAATAATAATGTTTTTTAAAACTTTATCTGAGTAACAATCAGTTATTAATTGAAAAATGAATATAAATTAGTAAGATTTTTTATCCAGTAATATGCATCGTTTTTTTTTCATGAATCAAAAATACGTAAGTAACCTGCTAGATCATGTAAACAAAATTATCGAAAATCATGCATGACTTTTTCTCAAGCTACGTTCTAAACTTGTTTATTCAGGCGGGACGTCGAAAAATATGATTGGCGACTAATTTGCTTTCGATGCAAAAAATTCTGCGTAAACAAGTGTAACTAGTAAAGAAACCATGATTTATTTGCACGGTTGAATAATTTGTATATATGTCGGTGTTGATATTAGTCAACATAAAATTAGATATATAAAAGGTAGCAGTTATTGTCATACATCATTTATTAATTTCAAATCAAGTTCTATTACTTTTTTTATCATATAAAATATGTTCGGTGGTCAAAGTGGAGGAATGGGAGAAATGGCATCAGATTTCCTGATCAATCGGTTTGTTCCTGGAGGATTGAATAGTAAGTTAATATAGTGATTTTATTTCGTTATCCTACATGTAATATATAAGGTCCAATGGGTATGATTGCTGATAATATGATTGGTGGAAATCCAAATGGTGGTATGAACTACGGAGGGATGGGAGGTGGATATGGAGGGATGGGAAGTGGATATGGAGGAATGGGAGGTGGATATGGAGGAATGGGAGGTGGATATGGAGGAATGGGTGGTGGATATGGAGGAATGGGTGGTGGATTTCAGGGTCATCACCACGGAGGTCAACAAGGTGGATATGGTAATAATTATGGTTATTTTTAATTGTATGAAGCCATTCATTGAAATTTTGTTTTCATAATGACTTAAAATAAATGTATTTATACTTGCATAAGAATCTGTTTTAAGCATGCATGAAAAATTAAATTGTTTAGAGAAAATCGAAACATGAATCACTTGTTGCTCCATTTGATTTACCATATCCCATAGTATTTATACATTTGAAAATATATCTTTTTACAAAGCAAAGCTGAATATAAATATAAAGAAAATAAGAGTTTCTTCCACAGCTACTCGTTATTTTAAAGCACGTAAGTCATTCGCAAATCTAACTGGAGGATCAGATTTAAGCAGAATTGAATCCTAGGATTGAAAGAATAGAAATATTAAATGTCTCTCAGAAGAAAAGCTGCACAATCAAGCAGTAATTCGATTTTCCTTTACATAATGATAATTGAATAAAGTTTCTTTATAAAATATTTTTTATTGTAAATATTTATTAAATAATTTAGCTAAAATTTATTTGGCATAAAAAAAAGTCTCTATTAAAAATTCTAATAGCCCTCAAATATACTATTACGTATTATTTCTTGATAAAAAGTTGTCACTAAATAAAACTGGCATTTGAATAGTTCAATATGAAATGAAGAATCAAATTGAAATAATAAGAATTTTGATTTAAAATCAGTAATGAAAATGACCAATATCGATGAATTTCATTCGTCTAAATAAACAAATAAATATTTACATAAAATCATTTAAGGAAAGAACACACAAGATACAAAATTCTTTAAAAGAAACTTCACAAATAATGATATTGATTCATTCTTTTTGTGTACTCAAAAAGTGAGTACACTCTAGATTCGGTCAGTGTGTCCGTCCGGCCGTCTGTTAGCACGATAACTTTTGAAGGACTCATCCAATTGTTATGAAATTTTGTACACAGAATGATCTCATCAATATCTCAGTCGAGTTCGAAGATGAAAGCAATCCGTTAAGAAATGACTCAGTTATCAAAAAAATTGTCATTATTTACCAGACTATCCCTGAGGGAAGCCAGGGTGCAGGGATTTTTTCAAAAAAAGAATATTTTTCTCAGAATTATTCACAACATATATAAATCGACTCAGTTTTTAACGCTGATTCCGAATCTGATATTAATTTTGAACAAAACCGTAGCTTTCTAAGAAAACATCGTCTGAAAAAGGTCTCAAAGTGCATAAAAACTGCATCCAGAAAGCAAATTGCCTAGGTATGCCTGAAATGATCAGCAGTTTTGGGATTTTCCAAATGCCTGGTTTTGTAACTAGTCAAAAGGACTATCGAAAGGTAAAAGCCCGAAGTCGATAGGTATTAATATTGGTGATTTATTAGGAAAATACTGATGCCTATATCTATCATATATCTCTTATAGATTCATGAGATTGCTTACGATCGTAATCCTGCTAGATACAACAAACGCAAATCCAATCAAAAATGACTCTTCTTACCCAGTTTTCCAAGCTAAACACGAATCTGAACTCAATTTCTGTGATTTCTAAAGATATTTTATCACTCTGAGAGTAGAGTCAGTGGTCACCGGATAGAGTCGCATGCAGTGTGGTCAATGTTAACTTAGCACGCCTGTATTTTCTCCTTGAAATTTAGTGGCAAGAGATGTATCTTGATGAGATCTATGTCTTATAGAATAAATGCGAAAACATCAGATTCAAAATCCGATGCTTCCCCATTTTATTTGAAACTTCGTTGGAAACTGACCGCATATTTTACAATTATTTAAATACATATAATACTTTTCAATTTATACGAATTAGGCATACCTTTTGTTTTTTTTGGTATCACAGCCGATGTCTCAGAAGTATTAGCAGCTTTTGATGGAGACTTCGAAGTGAATGTTATCCAAGAATAAACAATACTACCAATTGCACTAGAAAAATAAAAATTATATTTCAATAAAACATTAATACTAAAAACCTATAAAATTTTCGATAGAAAACAACGAGATTGTCTTGTTCATATTTATTGAGGAGTACTACAAAAGTTGTGAGACAGTCTACAGGGTGTCCGAAAATTCGCCTAACAAAAATAAATTTCTATGTTTCAATTGTTGTACTTGAGGTAAATCTCCTTTTTGATGACTAGTTCGAGTTCGAAGTTTCTATTCATAAATCAGCAAAGTCTCCGTTACTAAAAAAATTGATTATTTTCACAAATAATTAACGACATTCAATGTAGGGATAAAGTTGAACGTGGATGAGATATTAGATTTCGGAGAGTCATTCTAGATGAGTTCTTCAAAATTTTCTCTTCAACGAGACAATCAAATTTCCATATTAACTACCTGATATTGAGTCCAATAAAATTAATCAATGAAAAAACATAATCACCACCGATAAACATTCCAAGATAGGTGACAAATAGATTCTTTAAAATAAAAAAGAAATACTAAAACTACCAATTAGAAAGAATCTTATCATACAAACCTTACAAGCGCCAACAACAGTTGTCGTTAATGGTGAATTATATTTTGTACATAGCATTGTAGAATAATTCAGTAAAAATCCCATTAACGATGAAAGAAGAAAAGCACATATAAAACCAATATCACAGTAACCATTATAATTCCAAACCTAAATGATGGTTTTTTCAAATAGCGTGTGTTTTTTGGATAAGAAAATTTTCCTACTTTATTAAGATCTTCAGTTAATAAAGCCAAGAGCATTGAAGGCCCAATAACAATTAATGAATTATAAAATAAAAGACCATTTTGATCGAAATCCTGAGTCAAGAAAAAAACATTCTCTTTATTACATATAATCGCATAGTTTTAGTTTACTTTATTAACTAATTTTTGTTTAATAACAACACCTTGAGCAGTTGTACTAAAATTATTTATCGTAAGAAAAATATAACCAAACCAATTGAACGTTAAATCATCACCTGATGCAATCAATGCACCTATGACCATTAAATAAACACTTATCTGTGCTGTCAACGATTGCTTTTGTCTATGAAGAAAATGAAATGTATTCAAATAGATTAAAGCAAAACAAAAAGATTACTTAAGTATATACTGTTCACCAAGCATTGTCATCCAAATTGAAAAACGACGTAACGCAGTAAACATAGGCAAACTATTCAATCAATATTTCATAGATAGAAATGCAAATTGAAAAACAAAACAAAATGAAATACCTAACTGCTTGCGTGCCACCTAAACCAAACAGTAAATTACAGAAGAAAAATACTGGCAACGGCATTATCTACTTACAATATGAAAATATAAATTTTCAATAAAAACAAAAGTCATAAGAAATTTACTGTCATAAAAATATATCTGGAGAATGGAGGAAAGGCAATTAAATTCGATAATCGAGCCACATAGAGTACAACAACCGAAATAAGTAGCTAAACAATAGAAAATTCATTCACTCTATTGGTACAGATATAAAATACCTGTCCTATGGCAAGCAGTTGAAATGAAGGAAACCTATTAGATTATAGAAGAAAGACATTATTTATAAAACTTTCGATCGATAGACAATGTACCCGTATGAAGTAAGAACAAGTTTATTCACAACAGTGATGAGACCTGAACAACTAGCATAGAAAATTGCTGAGCCAACACGATGAACAAATGCAACGTTCTGTGGACAAGCAGACTCCGAAGTTATCTTGCATGTCATTGTTGTACTTGAAATGAAACCTCAAATAAGTGGCGTAAGTTAAATTGACATTTTAACATAAACTAAGCGATTAGTGATTTTGAATAGAAATCTACTCATTGGATAATGACATACAATCTTTTAATAATCAATAAGATTGTGACATCTGCAGGATAGAAACATACATTTTTTTGAGTTCAATGTATCAGTAGTTATAAACATCCTCAAAGCTTTTATTTTGACCGATTTTTTATAGAAATTTCCTATCATGCTATTCAATATCATTCTTTTTGATGATAGAGATGCAAATTATTACTGAAACATTTGAGTAAAAGATCTTGGTTTAATTTTAACGAGGGAACATTCCCAGGTGATTCGCACCATTTAGTCTCATATTTTGCTCATAGATAGGATCCAATGAGACGTTGAAAAGCCTAAAAGGTTTCATGCCCTTGGCCAAGTGATTTATAAGAAAATTGAATAAAGAGGAATTCTGAGGTGAAATTTTGTGTAACAATAGGTCTCATTAGTATTAGAAAATTGTAAAACGTTCAGTTAAAACTGGTGATTTTTTTAGAGATATTGCAGATTGAAGAAAAGTCAATTTTACGATAACTTTTGGACCATGGCCGTTTTCTTCAAACTGCAATATCTCTAAAAAAAACAATCATCAGTTTTAACTGAAAGTTTTACAATTTTCTAATACGAATGAGACCTATTGTTACACAAAATTTCACCTCAGAATTCCTCTTTATTCAATTTTCCTATAAATCCCTTGGCCAAGGGCATGAAACCTTTTAGGCTTTTCAGAGTCTCATTGGATCCTATCTATGAGCAAAATATGAGACTGAATGGTGCGAATCACTGGGTAATGTTCCCTCGTAAGTCAGTTTTGTCTATCCAGCTTCCTTGACAGCTCAATTCCGATTAATAGAAAGATCAAATGAATAGCAGAATGATAATGAAGGAAATATATTCTTATCGAAAAATGAAGCGTAAATATCTATGATGTGATTGTTTATGCATGATAAATTTCTGATTACCGTTGTTCTATCTATGCAGTAATTAGTATTGCACGCTGTTTCTGTATCGTAGCTTATTCGTTACGGATATTTCTTGTGTTATGAAAGAGGTAGTTTAGATCGTATCGTTCATTGTTTTGCTTCTACAGATCAAGACGATATAACATCATGAGAGTTATTTAATGGTTAAAACAAAAGGTAATACTGGGCGTCTTTTAAAGATGAGCGGTATCGTGAAGGGTGTTCTCTAAAGTAATAACAATATTATAGTTCAATTGACTGCAATCACTTGGAAAATGTTTTCTATGCTCAATAGCTCATGAAATCATTTCAATGATCGTTTGCATCGATATGTTTACGATGGTACAAGAAAAAAAAATCATATACTTAAACAGTGAGAGATACGTGACTTTGATAGAAATTTGTTTCTCCTTTAGAAATAACTACCATAGAAATAGAAAGAACAAATATCAGACGACGAAAACGAAAAAAACCAACATAGACAAACTACTCAAATATCACAATTAACATCGTGGTTAAAATACCTCTGATTGTGTCATTTTCGGCTCGTTTAGTTCTCCCTTTTTTTTCGTATAAACTTGCCGCAAATCGAAAGTATAATATTCTAGAGAATCGACTTCTCCTTTAGTATTTAGACGTATTCGAAGTTTTTGTTCTTTCAAATATCCAACGCATAAAATAATAATTAACTACATTACACATAATCTATGAAAAGTTTTGTTTCTTTTTGCGCATTCGAACGACATTAATTACATCCTAACAGAAAATAACATGTCTGTATCGATTGTTCGAGTATATTTTTAAAAATACTGATGTGTTTGTTCATCGGAGCTTATTCTGCCTGATGAAATTGCTAAGACTCATAAAAGCGACATCGATTTATTTATCTCCAGACCACTTCTTTCTTGTTATTCATATTACTGCGTCTTTTTTTTTTTATACACTATACATTTCATATTGAAGTTTTTTTCTAACAAGTATCGATTGATGTAATAATATCTTCCATAGATAGCAATGAATTTAATCTATAGAGATTTCAAGATAATCTTAGGTAGCAGCCTGTATTCGAAGAGAAACAATATCTTAGAAGAATTTTGCAAAATTTAAACAGTTTTTTAAGGTTTTATTTCGAGTACTCTCGAAAAAATGAGGAAATAATTAAACACTACAATTATACCAGAGCCGATCAGAAGAGTTACGCACACATATACAATCTTGTCTATTCTCTAAAATGCGACCTCTGTCTTTGCATGAATGATGTTCTGTTTGATTGGACCAATATCAATATCGTTTGTGGCTGGATTGATTGAATGAATGAGCAATGTTTTAACGTGATTTCTTCGATGATTCATGCGTATTATCCTCTTCCGTCTTCTTTTCTTTGTTTGCTTGACTCTAACATCATTGTTTTTTATCTTATCTATCCTGTAGTGTATTATTTTTTCTTTTTAGATGCTATGCTGATGCTAGTATCCAGAAGATTATCTAATCATAAATAGAAAAAAAAGAGTTAAAATGCAAGCACTTAAGTGTGTCGTGGTCGGCGATGGGTAAATGAATTTTGTTTTTACTTGACTAATAAAAATTTTATTATTTGCTTTAGTGCCGTAGGTAAAACATGTCTTTTGATATCCTATACAACGAATACATTTCCTGGTGAATATATTCCGACGGTGTTTGACAATTATTCAGCGAATGTTATGGTTGATGGAAAACCGATCAATCTCGGTTTGTGGGATACAGTAAGAAGAAAATGACATTTCATTTAAAAGTTTATTATTCTTAATCTTTGATTATTTAGGCTGGTCAAGAAGGTATAATTAAAGATGATTGGTATAGATTTTTTCTAGTATTATATATTTAGATTATGACCGTCTTCGTCCGTTATCTTATCCACAAACGGTAATTTGGTTTTTGAGCGAGCGCAATAAAACTTATCTTTACTTTTCTAGGATGTTTTTATTATTTGTTTTTCACTTGTTAGTCCAGCTTCGTTTGAAAACGTTCGAGCTAAAGTATTTAGTTTCTTTTATTGATCTAGCTTTTTTTCTCTAACGCTTTGGATTTATTTAGTGGTTTCCTGAAGTAAGTCATCATTGTCCTGATACACCGATTATTCTTGTCGGTACGAAAGTCGATTTACGCGATGATAGAAATGTGATTGACAAACTTCGAGTAAATATTTTTCTTTTCTTATTTTATTTTGTTTCATAATTTGCTTTTTGTTAAGGAGAAAAAGTTATCACCAATATCTACATTTCAAGGCGAATCAATGCGTAAAGAAATAGGTGCTCTCAAATATCTTGAATGTTCTGCATTAACACAGAAAGGTTTAAAAACAGTATTTGATGAAGCCATACGTGCGCATTTATGTCCAAGGCCTAAGGCAAAGAAAAGAGGATGTATCCTTATTTAAAATAAAGAACATCTGTGTTTTTGTTTCTGCATGACAAATTATCTTGCTCGTGTTTTTTTTCTTTTTCTATGACACATTTCCTTTATTAATATATATAAATTTGTTTATTCAAAAAAAAAAAGAATGAATATTTTTCAGATTGTTATGTTAAAGATACTATGACAGGTGGTGGCGAATCAATGACAAGTACACGTACGTCGGAAGTGAAATTGCAAGAGGTGAGAATTGTATGCAATGATCATGGTGATAGACATGATAAAACAAAGTTGTAGCATTGATGTTTTCCTATAATTACATCAATTGAAAGTAAATCTCAATAGGAAATTCATTGCATGGATAATCTAAGAAGCAAAATTTCAGAAAAGAAACTGGAGAGTGATTTTTCATATATCATAAAACTTGACGAGGATTAGTTTTTAGTCAGTATTATCATAAAGAATGTGAACTTTTAAACAAACGGCTGTTGTATTTTCTATGACTTCGTTTCGAAGACCTACAAGTACAATTGATGAAATATCGCTTAGGATGAAGCACTTTTTTAAACATTTTGTAAACTCGCTCATAGAAAATGCTATGTCTTCAAATATAGATATACACTAATTCTTAAAGAGTTCCATTCAGCACTAAAACTAATTGCAACTTAAGTGATGGAATGAGACTAATGAAAGTCGAGCTCAATTCAATATTGAATCTGAATTGTTCCGGTCTCTGAAAAATGACTTTTTTCATACGAAAAACTTGATTCATCTGATCGATATTATTTGTATTTGTGAATAATAAAAACGAATTTTTTTTCTTAGGAGAAACGTCGTTTAGCATTATTGCAAGAGTCGTTATCTCGTTCGAATGCATTGACAAGTGGTATGGTTGCAACATTGGATAGTTTCGAACGTAAATTGAAATCATTAGATGAACTTGTTACACCTGTCTACGAAGCAACAAATGAATTAAGTTTACTCTTAAATAATGTTGGCAAAAGTCTATCAATAGTTGATTCTGTTCTTCATTATTATGAAATATGTGGCGAATTAAAGCCAACTGTATCATCAGGTCCAGGAGGAAATCTAACGGATTATTTAACAGAATTAGATCGTCTTGAAGATGCAGTTAAGTATTTTAAACGTGTTACAGCTGTTGCAGAACGTGAACGTGTGACACAATTATATGATCTTGGAAGAAAACGACTTGTAGAAGAAACCGATAAACTTATTTTAAGATATGCAAATCCATTATCACCTAAAGAAGTTATTGAACTGTGTGAATCAATAAATACATCAAATAAAAATGATATTCATTCAATGCAAGGTTAGTTTATTGTAATATTTTAATTCCTATATTATGATGAAATTTTTAGAAGCTGACATGGCCGTGTTAAGAGCAATTATAGAATGGTTTAGTTCACATGGTTTTCGACAAGGTCTTATTGATTCGTATTCAATAAAACGAGGAACAATGATTCGACGTTCGCTTCAACTGTAAATTGATTTTCATTTTCATAGATAAAGATGTTTTATTTCTTAAAAATAGCCTTGAAGAACATGTGAGAAAAACTTCCATTCGTCGTGGATCAACACTTCTAGTAACATCCAGTCCAAATATGTCTCAACATGGATTATCGAGTTCCGATACATTGAGAAAACAAGGAAGAAAACTTGGGTAAATACATATGGATCGAATTTGCTTCATTTTTTTATATAATTGTTCATCTACATTAGTCACTTTTTTACACCGTAAGTGTTATTGTAGCCATTGCTTATTCTTTTCCTTGCTTACACATATATATTATGTTCTTATATATATATATATATATAAGCACACATGATCGGGTGATTTTATTAAGAGTTGAACTAATTGAGACTTGTTCGAATACAGTAAAAGGGAATAATATGATGTCAGCGCCTATTTTCAAATATATTTGTTTTTTACTCATGATATATACATAACGCCAATATTTACAACTAACTAGTTAAGCTTGATTGATTTTGTGCTTGAATATATTAAATCCATAATCGAATCTTACCAGGATTAATCAAATAAAGTCCTTGTAACATTGATTGCCCAATACTTGCATATCAGAGCTGTTTACTTTTACAACTCACGTTTTCTTGATTGCTTTAAATAGTATATGAGTTGCTTTTGAAAGTTTGCTCACTGTGGGTACATGCTACAAAAGACGATATCAGTCTAGGTCACTCGTTTGGTAGAATGCTGATCGTAATAGTATTTCACCATAGGAATATTATTTTGAAGAATTAAAAAACAATTATGTCATATTATTCATATATCTAAGGAGAGTACTAAAGTGAGATGACTGCTTTTTTTAAAAGTACTTCATTTTTGATGATATCTGATAAAAACACAAGGGGGAAACGGCGGACTTTTGAACTTGAAGTTACTTTGAGCTACTTTAAGCTACTTCAAGTTACTTTGAGCTACTTTAAGCTACTTCAAGTTACTTTGAGCTACTTTAAGCTACTTCAAGTTACTTTCAGCTACTTGAAGTAGCTTACTTTGAAGCACTTTTCAACTTTAAATTTACTTGAAGCTACTTCTCCCTACTTTGGGCTACTTGGTGGTACGTTGAGCTACTTCAAGTAGTCTACTTTGATGTACTTTTCTACTTCAAGTCCGCCGTTTCCCCCTTGCAAAAACAGCGCTTAATGATTTCGATGCAAGACAAAGCCTCAAATCTGAATTCACTCTTCATATTAATAAAGAAATTGAGATGTACATGTTAAGTGCATCCAGCATATTCAAATTCTCTTTTTTTTCTGTCCATATTACTTTTACATCGTGTTAAATGGAGAATAATTCACACGAAAAACTTTTTATTTATTTTAATTTAGTGAAATGAGTCGTCGTTTAATACGCTCACCAGCTACGAATACATTACCACGTGGTATGAATTCTCCCTTGTCATCATCTGTAACAGTCATGGACGATACAGTTATTATTGAAACAAGTGATGATCATGACACCAATAATTATAAATTATTACTCGATGCATTTATTGCACTCTTACAACGTGATCGAGATTTATTAAATTATGTTTTTCCTAAAGAATTGCAATCACTTGTATTTACAAAATTAATTGAATTACCTCTAGTACATATGCGTGAAGTAGCATTAAATCTATGTGAATCTATTGAACGTTTACCACATAAATTAGATGCAGGAAAATTTGCAGTTTATGGATTATTTTCTATTTTAAAGTGGTTTCTAAAATCTCGGCCGACTTTCTCGAAACTTTATCAAGTAAAATTTTATTGATCAATTCAATCTTTTTTTGTATTTATTCTTTTTTTTTTACAAAGGAAAGTGATGTTGCTCGACGACAACAATTTACTACGCTATCGGCAACATTTGAACAATCAGTAAGAATTTGAATACTGAATGAACAATTAAAAATTTCGATTATTTTCAGGCAGTGAATTGTCTTCGAGCAGTTCTAGATGAAGTTCGATTAGATGCATCACCACCAAGTCAAGGTGGTAATGTTCATCCGTTAACATCACATGTATTGGCTTTTATGGAAGGTTTACTTGGTTATGAAGAGACAGCCACTATAATTGCTTCGATTTATGTTGAACAAGACCAGCGTAAAATATTCGACATAAATTGAAAATATTAAATAAAACACAATTTTTATTTTTAAAGGAATGAATAGCGCTGGCTTAACAGGAACAGACAAAGGTCTTTATGACTTAGGAACATATTTTGGTAGGAATCTATTTTTTTTTGGCGGAGATCGATGAATTAGACAAAAAACAAATCTTGTTTATAGCTCAATTGGTTCGATGGCTTCATGCGAGTTTATCGAAGAAAACTGATGGTTATATATCACGTCATGATACAACTATTCGAGCAATATTTCTTCTTAATAATGTTAATTATCTTCTCAAGCGACTTGAAAAGTAACAGATAATGTTAGACAAGACTTTTTGAAATTACTGCTGTTCTTTTTATTTTGACATTCAGTTCACCACTTTTGGTTATGATTCAACGATGTCAACCTGATCTAAAATCGAAATATGAGGATGATTTTAAAACGAGTTTGAAAGATTATACAAAATGGTATGTTACTAAAACTATTTACGACTAGAGATTCTATTGGTATGAATAAACATCATAACTTGTTTTCATTCTAGTTATACGCCATTAATTATTGCCATTCAACAAATGCTTGAATATGATAATGTTAATCGTTTATCTGATGGAAAAGTTAGTTATTTATTTTTAATTTTGTATTCTTAGTTTTAATATTCTATTGGTTCTAGTTACGTGATCGTGATCGTGAACAATTAAAAGAAAGTTTTGCAACTCTCAATGCTGCTATTGATAATCTACGACAACAATGTCAAGAATATATCGTTAGTGATGTTGATTTACGTGATCGTCTAAGAACTGAAGGCAAACTATTAATTATGGATATGTTTAGAACATATTATAATAAATTTTCAAATAAAGATTTTACAAGAAATCGTGAAAAATATATTCGCTATGATCCAAGAATCCTCGAATCGATTATTGACAATTTTTTTGAACATCATTCATAATACATCTATATTTAATTTATAAGTACACTTTTGTAAATAAAAATATTTTTATTATTACGTTAATTCAAATAAATTACTTCTTGTCGGCTTCATCACTTAACACTTGTTTTTATTGTTAAAACTTAGTTTTACAGGACGCGCATGTGATTTATGAAATAATGCCTGCCATCAATATCCCACACCCTCGCCCAACAATATTGTGACATTTGATATGAATTTTATAGTTACGTCTTAAAGACTTCAATCACCAACTTACTAACGTAATCCCTTCCCAATCAAGGTAATGAATATGTTTATTGTGCTCACAGAATGTGAGGATTATTTGTTATTTTTTTAAAATTTCAAATCAATCTTATAGTTAGAAATTATATCTGGTTTATTAAGAAAGCATCCCAAATTATTGCGTAATCTTTTCAAATTTTATGTCAACTCAGGCGGATGTTTCCACATAGTAAAGAGCAGTGATGCATATGTATCCGACCACTAAGCAGAATCTGATTTCATGAAGTTGTGATGCAGCTGATGAATATAATGTATTGAGATACCGATCACTGAATATTCGACTTGAGATCGTAACATTTTCGGCTGCTTCATCGGTTTCAACTCGAATATAAGTAGCGTCAATGGAAAAGAACGGTGGTAAAGCAACATTTGGTAATTCACGTCGCTGATCAAGTTTTTCAAATTTCAAACACACTTCTAGAAGGCAATTGCCATTAACACTTCCCATTGCGTAGGCACTATAGCCTGCAGGGCATGTTTGACTGCGTGATCCAGTGGCTATATTGGCGTGTTCACAAGAATACATTCCACCATAACGAGGCAGAGTATCTGAGCTCGATGTAATTCTTTCACTCAAACATACTTTTATACCGTCAATATCATACGCCTGTATCAAGCCTAGTGGACAATTGTATGTATTGGTGACTGGATTAACTTTTGCCGTTGTAAACGAACCACCAAATACATAACTCGATCGAATATCAATAGTGCCAGACGAAGTTAGTTGTCGGCTGATATTTCGAGAGCATCCATAGAGATTGAGCTCACGCCGACCCTGCCCTATATTAGCCCTGTCACAACATTGTTGCAACCAAAGAAAGCCGCATTTATGACAGTTCTCAGTATATAATGATTCATATTGAATTGTAGTATGTAAAAGATGCATAATAAAATCGGGCTTGCACTGGTAATTATTTGTGTAGTAGTTTCGTGCTTGCAGTTTGGAACATTGTCTAAATAACGCACAAACTCAAAATTTTCTCTATTTTGCTCATGCAATAATATCATAAAATCTCTAAACTTTAATTGCACAAAAGAATCTTTGGCTTTTCTATCATTGCAATCTAAATGTTCTCCCAGGCCGAACATACACGGTCGTATACGACGGTAAATCGCCGTATTTGGCCGTATTACATGGCTCCGTATTACGATCGTAAATCTCCGTGCCGTATACGGCGAAATATTACGACACGGAGATTTACGATCGTAATACGGAGCCATGTAATACGGTCAAATACGGCGATTTACCGTCGTATACGGCAGAAAACGGCCGTATACGGACGTCGTAAAGCTCGTCCTGGGCTAGAAAGATTTTTTTCCCCATCGAGAAAATAGTGACATCCATTGAAAGATTTACAGATGAACATACAGTATTAACTTACTGTGACATACGAGCATCTTCTGAGCAAGTACGAATAAAGCCTCCGAATTGTATCGTTTGTTCAGCTGGAGCACAAGCACTATCATCAAGATTGGCTACCCAATTGAATGATGGTGAATTTCGATTCATGCATCCTCGAACCGTATTCATTTCTACGTAGGCATTGATTGCTTCATCAATTTCCTTTCGAACTTTGCTTAATGCCTTGTCAGTCAATTCTGGGATTTTTTCGGCTTGTATTACATACGTAAGATTTTCAACAGCTCGTCGAATGATAACTGGACGGTTATTCACCGATGCTTGCCATTGTTGCATATGAGCACCCATAATAAAGATATCACCACCTTTGGAATTTACTATTTTGCGATTGATCTTTGCTTTATATTCATTAATTGTCGCTTGACTATGTACCGAACTCGAACTGTAACTTGCCGAAAGACTAAAAGAACTTAAAAATGATGCTTCCGCTGCTGCTTTGTACTTTTTTTCTTCTGATGTGCCGGTGTGATAATTCAAATGAGATACGAAATCTTCTTCAATGATCGATCCGCCCAAATATAAACGACTTGTATAGTGTGTTCCGTATTTTTTAACAAAAAGTTGAGCGAGATAAGTCGCTAAAAGACTATTGTTATTCGTTTGATATTTCGCAATGTCGATTAGATCTCGTTTTACTTGTGGATGTAAAGGGCAACTAGGTAAAAGAATGACGTCAACCATGATGTAGTCAATTTGATTTCGCAATGTAATCGTCTTTTCTTGCTCCTGTTCTTTTTTTGTCGTTTGGTATTCTTTTGAATACGAGCCAGCGATCTTGAATGCCCCAAAGCCTGCGCTACCGCCTATCATTACATTTGACGAATACTCACTAGAACGCGAATCGAATGCATCGATTTCTATTGAGCCCATTTCGATTTTATTCTCGTTTATAGGAATCATTTCGATGCAGGATTGAAACAAACTAGAGCGATTGAAGTTTGATACTTCATATAAGGGTGCTAAATCGATGAATCGCAGATGATCCCAACCAAAGCCAGGATAAATATCAACTGTCAGTGATTTTTCGCCGTTAGAACCGAGCCAAAACAACATCAGAATCATACCATAGATCATCATTTTCATTATGTGGCCAAATTCACAGTGTTCAATGAATAAACTTTATAATCTGAAAGATAGAATTCATGCATATGAATTTCAATTCAAGAGGTGTATGAAAAATACTTGATTGAGTCGAACTATCTTTTATCAAGTTTTATGGATTAGAAAAAACCCACAATAATCTCCTCATCCTCTATGTATTTTGCGTGTAGTCGTTTATTTTGAAAATGATACATGTAATTAATGTAACCGAAATGCTGTCGCCAGACTCTAGTTTCTTAGCAATATATATATTGATATCAGTCAATCAACATAAATAACTCATGTTTCTATATCTATATAGAAGGAGAGAAACATGACAAAATACCCTAATCCACAAAATTTGGTTCGCTAAATCGCTTCCTCGATGAAATCGATACTTGTGAAAAATTAGACGATATTTATTTCTGATCAACAAACGAGCAATTTTCGTTTGGGTATTGATTTTGGGTTAGGTGTTGGTGCGGATGTGGGTGTGGGTGCGAGTGTGTGTAGAAGAGAAAGAGTATCAGCCACAGTCACAGTCACACTCTGATTACTGGTAGATGAACTTGTTGACCATGACAACAGCATCACGCTCCAATTTCCATGGAATTTACCAGTAGCCTTTCTATGAAAATAGCAAACACAACATATTTTACTTTATGTTTTATGACCAATCAGTAGACCTTAAAAAGTTCTATCAGCACAGAAATACGGGATTTGTATAGTGTGGTACTGGTTGTTCAAGAATGGGTGGCACTATATGTTGTATAGTAGAGATCTACTACTTGCCGACGTAGAGTAAAATCTCTTTAAAATGGTTGGTAAGAGTTCAGAATCATGAGTAGCTGTCTAATTCGAGTTAGAATATAAATGGAGAAAAGAAAAAGTTGAATTAAAACTAAAACTAGGAATAGATTTTGTTTTAGTTTAACTTTCCGATATATGCGACATATGAATACATATATGCCCTTCACCCGCGCCCATATTTGAGCACTCCTCCATGGTATCCATCACCCACACTCACATTTGAATTAACTCGGATACCCCCTCTGCATCCCTTCCGGGTGCCCTTCACCCACACCCACTCCATCTTAAACTAAATATAAAACTAAATCTATTTCTACCACTTGTTTTCGAATTGATACCATGCAGTTGGGTGTCCATTTATATTCGAATTCGAACTAGGCATCTCATGGGCAGTACCCAGGTCCATCATTCAGACCGTCTGAAAGATGACATTAAATTGCCTGAAACAGTTCAGAAACGGTGCACATAGTGTCATAAACCATGAAAAATGACCACCGATTTTAATCGGTTTTTAGCAGTTTCCCGTCAGCTCGGATTACAGGCCGCTTTTCTCCGGACCGTTAACGATGGCGTTCACGACCGTTTTCGACGAAAAATGGTAAGTAATAAAAGCACCTTATTTTCGTTTATTCTGACGTGATCAGAGATGGGCAACTCCGGCTTTTTTCGGTCAACTCCGCCGGAGTTGAATAAGATATCCGAGAAAAAAAATAGAGTTTAAGAACTGTATATGGAAGAGTGATACTTCGGCTACCCCTAACTCCGACGGTTGCTACGGAGTTGTACGCTGCGTGCTTTGTTGCTAGGGGAGTTAACTCCGGAGTTGCCCATCCCTGCGTGACGTGATCAAGATGCTTCTCACCGTTTTCCATGAGAGTTACGCTGATTATTTATACCTTTGAAATATTTAATTTAATATTATTATCATATATTTATTTTCAAAAAAGTCTACATAAACTAACAGAAAATAAAACAGAAAATCATCGGAAAAGAATAAAAAACATTGAAGCAGTCCAAAAATTAAAATAAATAAATAAAATAAAAGAAGTAAAATACAACAATATAAAATAAATAAATAAATAAATAAAAGTATAAAATAAAATAAATAAAATATACAATAAAATACAATAAAAATAAAGTAATTTATAAATAAAATTCAATAAAAGAAAATAAAATAAAACAGAATAAATAAAATAACGTAAAAAATAAAATAAAAGAAAATGAATGATACAATAAGAATTAAATTAGCTAAAGAAAAGAAAAAAAAATGAAGTAAAATAAGTTGAAGTGTCTAAGTAACTATATATTTTACCTATATTTATATCTCCAAATAAAAGAGATACAAAACGATAAAAAACGTTCGCCTTAGAAGGTAGTCGCTTCCGACAACACGGAAACCGTCACCGAAAAGGCCGCCGTTTTTCGCTGTTTCTAGTCGTTTGCGGGCCGTTCTATACGACATGGGTAGTTGAACCAATATAACATAAAGATTGTGTAGTCTTTCTTCACTTTTAGATCTTTATTCTGATAGGATTTAAACCATCCTTATACAAAAAATTCTTCTCATATTTAGTCGAATTATCCTTGGGTTCCTTCTAAATATGCTATCTCGTGATAATACAGAAGTAGTCGACTTTTAAAGGTGAACAGACAATCGAAGAATACATAGTAGAGATATTTAGGTTTTCATTATAGAAATAGATCAGCGTTTCTGGTTGAATTGTAGTATACTATTATGTAAGGATTTATTACTAGATACTTAAAATTCTCAATTTATGTGAACTTCTACTTGAGTTTCAGATAAAAAGCACTCCACCGAGTTCCTCAAATCTCATATCAGTCTTCTTTTTTGTTCAGTTGAAAACGGGTATTACTAATTTACGCGAACAGCACGAACAGTCAAGTTGGTGAGATCGTATATAAGTCATCTTTGCGAACACCCACAGCGTGTAGAGTTATATTCACGAACATCCATTTTCTAGGAGCAATACTGGAAAAAAAAACTGTCATCAAAGACTAAAAAATGACCCCTCTCAACACGAACACTCAGAATCTCTGTCATAGTCTACGCAAGCACCTTAAACTTTTTCTTACGAACATCCGCAGAACTCCATAAGCTACATTTTGACCAAACGACATGGTATCCCCAAATGAATTCTTATAGGACTTTTGGGGTGTGGGTGCCGGTGTGAGTTTGACTGTGACTGATGGTAACTTTTCCGTGTTTTGAAAGCGACTATATCCACAGTCACACCCACATCCTAACCTATTCCTGATTTATATTACTTAAATCACGTCCGAAAAATATCGTATCTTGGTTCAAACTAAAACCATCTTTGGAGAAATGGTTCAACAAAAAAAATGGTGCAGTACGGAACCTTTTCAAACATTTGGAACTATTGAGGGTCTGAGATGGTTCTTTAAACTAGCTAGAACTCTCGATGGTTTATTAATGAACGAGTGAAACCTCAAAAGGTTCAGTGTCTTGGCTAGAACCATAAATAGTTCCATATGACACCTTTTTTCAAAGCACAGGCTTGCTCAGTTTATAATTTTCTATCGAGGAACGTTTGAAGGCTCTATCTGCCATTTATCTCTGCGGAATTATAAAAATAGAAACAAAGGTAAAAATTCAAAATTTGGAATAAGTTTTTCAAATTAAAATTTTGTTTTCACCACTCAATTTTTCCTTTAAATACTAGCCTTCCAATGCTGAATCCGATTCTGAAATCAAAAGATGTGCTCTGAAACTCAGTTCCATCAAAATCTCACTCTTTTCATTGCTTAAAGCTGAAAAATTTTGATTTTCTGGAACCTTAACTTGCGAGGCTTTGGCAGAAAAATTACTCTAGAATATAAGAAGAGCATGTCGGAAAACGCTTTAGAATTTGAGGACAACTTGTGACAATCAGTCGCTCTCAAAGTACTCTACATCAGCGTTCCAATGTGGACACCTGTTGTGGGCCCGCTACCTAAGCAACTAACTGAATCATAGATCTATAAGTAGATAGAAAGTTGATAACGGTGCTGATAAGTCTAAATTTCGCGCTATTAACGTGTTAAAAGGAACCTCTTTGGCGTACATGGCCACATTTTGACCCATGATATGTATTTTGAGAACAAAAGTCCTATAAGAATTCATTTGTGGATACCATGTCTTTTGGTCAAAACGTAGCTTATAGAGTTCTGTGGGTGTTCTTAGAAGTAAATTGAGTGCTATTAAGCTTTTAAAATGGACCTCTTGGGTACACTGAAAAAAAAAGGTTCCATGCGGAACTTAAAAGGTTTCGATCGGAAACACCCCACGGAAAAAAAATTTCGAAAAAACCGCGGTCAACCGCCGGATTTTATTGTTATCGCGGNCGTGAAATTTTGCGGCTCCGTCCTATGCCAACTAGGGACAAGTCCGAAAACCATCCTTATAAATGGCTTCTTTCTTCGACTCAAAAGTTAATTACCTCATTATAAAGCACTGATAATAAATTTTGCAAGTTTCTCTATTTCATAGTAACAGTGCTGATGAGATTCGATTTGTCTAAACGACACCATCTGATCTGTCAGATCGATATTCCTTGAAAATGTTTTCTTAATCTATAACTAATCTTACGTGTGTGAGTCCTACAAGAGTTTTAAGTTTAATCCATTTACACAACCTGAATCAATTTCGATGCATTCTCATATTATCTAAGTTAAAGTGATATATATGTCCAGTAATAGTGTGAGATGAAACTGAATAGAAACCGTTTTAATATAAAATTCTGACTAGAACCTGATTTGACATGAAATTTCTTCCTTTGCTTTTTACCGAGTGATATTTATTGAAACTCGATTCTAGCTTATAATTTACTGCAATTTCTTCTTTCGTCTCTATCTCGACTACTCATTGAGAAAGCATTGACGAAGCTCGCACGATTCTCTTTATTTTCTGCACGTTAGAAGTCTTTCAGTGAACTCAGGTCGAACAGTCCGGCCTGGAAACGGCCGGTTCCGAGTAGTTCCGTTGATTTTGTGGAAGCACCCAGGTCGAAAAATCTGACACAAGATCTTATGAAATACATACAAGATCTTGGAATACGGGCGAAATCTTACAAGAATCATACAAAAAATCGTAGTCCCTGAGATTTTAGATCAATTCGCACAAGCAGACTCTTGAAAGATCTTACACATTAATACGATCTTTGAAGAATCTGATTGTTTGACCTGATCTGAGATCTCAGGAACTACGATTTTTTGTATAATTTTCGTGTGATCGTGGAAGATCATATAAGATTTGACACAAGATCTTATCAGATCTTACAATATGATTGCTCGATTTGGGCAGTATTCCGGTTGAAAAATTTTCGGATTTTTTCCGGTGATTTCCGATCAATTCCTGCCGGAAAGCACCGGAATTTGGCAGAAATCCGCCGGAAAAGCCCGGCCGTATTTTTGACCGGAATACTGCTTCTGTGTTCCAGCGATTTCCTGTTTTCCTGCAGGATATGGTGACTTTCCCGCATATTTCCTAGAGTATCCTACGGGATCTACTGGCCAGAATGTTCGACCTGGGAAAGTGTTTATAACGTCAGTTATTCACTAAAGAACATTAAAGAGAATATTTTATTATTAGATTCAAAATAAAAAAGAATATAGTGACATGTTTTCAACGGATATTACGAATTTACGCGAACAGCACGAACAACCAAATTTGTGAGATCACATATAAGTCATCTTTACGAACACCCCCAGCATGTAGAGTTGTATTCACGAACATCCATTTTCTAGGAGCAATACTGAAAAAAAACTGTCATCAAAGACTAAAAAATGACCCCTCTCAACATGAACACCCAGAATCTCCGTTATAGTCTACGCAAACACCTTAAACTTTTTCTTACGAACACCCACAGAACTCCATAAGCTACATTTTGACCAAAGGATATGGTAGCCTGGAATAAATTCTTATAGGACCTTTTCTCTGAAAACACTTGAGATCGATCAAATTTGACCATATATACACTGGAAAAAAAGGTTCCATACGGAACTTAAAAAACGTTTCGAGATTTGCAACGAAATCTAAACCTTTTTTCGGTTTCGTATAAATATGGTTCCGTACGGAACCATTCCCAATTAGTATTCAAAATGGTTTCGTAGCTCAAATAACCTCTCCATTCGAATGCAATGCCTCTGCGTTTGCGCCAATACTACCATTCACGCTTCCATTACAATTCCGGCAACTATCCTTTTGTTAACAAGTTCATTCTTTAATTTATATCTTAAGTTTTAAATGTATACCCTATGTTAACCTCTTACTCTACATCGTTATTCTATATCTAACTCTTAATTTATATCCTTAATCTATATCCGCATTCTATGTCTAACCATTATTCTATACCCTCAATCGATATCCTTATTCTATATCCTTATTCTATGTCTAACCATTATTCTATATCCTTATTCTATGTCTAACCATTATTCTATATCCTTATTCTATGTCTAACCATTATTCTATACCCTCAATCGATATCCTTATTCTATATCCTTATTCTATACCTAACCCCCTTATCCTATATCCTTATTCTATATCTAAATGGTTCACCATTTAGATTTTTGTTTTACAATAATCAAGAGTAGTGTGTGAATATGGATCATCGTCAACTGATAAAAAAAAACGGCCAATTCACACCTTAAACAATCAGCAAAATATTTTCATCTCTCCAAACTCACAATCGTTTTTTTTCTCTGCTCGGATTGACCTAAAACGAGAAAATTTCTAATATTATCATTGTACTCACCAATGATACATTTTGTTGTGATAAATGTAAATAGACACTATATGTTTCTATTATTTTTTGATAGTAACCGGCTTTTGCCAGTTGTGATCCGATGATTGTGAAGTGAAAAAACATGTTTGTTATTATGATAGTTACCGTGGATTTATTTCATGATATAAGGCGGGGGGAAAAAATTGTTTGTGTGTTTGGTATTCCTAATGTGAATCTTGTTAATGGAGCATACTTGCGCAAGTTAAATGATTCACTTCAAATTACTTTTCTCTGTATTTTGTTTCGAATTCTATCTCTATGGTCGTATAGCTGATAATTGTTTCATGAGATAGCGCTCATTTCCCGGCCGATATAGTTATGACATAACTTATTCTATAGGTTTATTGTTTTTCAAGGCAAATGCAATGTAAAACTCGTAAAGAAAACGGTAACGAATAAATATATAAGTAAAAGAGTATCTAAGAAACAGCGGAAAATGCACAAAATAGTTTTTGAAGCATTTGCTACTAGAAGTGTCTCAGTTATAAAAGAAAACTTCAAGCTGGAAACGTTTGTATTGGTTTGTATACATTTATATAACAAAATATATCATTAAAGGGTTCATCTTAGATTTATGCAGCAGATTATGTTAGTCACATAAAATACAATACAGTCGTTTCAGCATTAACAACTTCTACATATTTGAACTTTTATGTAATAGGTACAAATTCTAGCACGATTATATTACATTCGATGAAACGCGGACAATTTTGCATTTATATATTTGATTTAATATTATTATTAAATAAAAGCATTCTTGGATATATATATACATAATGTCTACATTTTTCAAGTTTTATTTTGTACTGCGAAGACTTAGTATACAATAAAAAGTTAAAGACAAATAATATAAAAAGGTGGAGAATAGGAATAAGATGAACAACGTTTGTAATAATGCCACAATATATATGTAAAGCGTTTTACCAACTTTGTAGATAAACAACGTGGATCTTTGCTTGTTCCATTTATATTCGAAATATAGTGCCGTTAATAAATTATAACTAGTTCGACTATTTGCTTTTGCTTGAGGTACTTAATATTGTAAACAGTGAATTTGATGTAGAATAAGATGAGCAGTGGAAAAATAAACGATTGGTTTTAACTTCACTCGGCAACAAAAGAAGTAACGACAGAAAGTGCCACTCTACAACTTATGTTAACCAAAAAGGATATAGCAGTATTTTACAAAACCTTGTTGAATTCCAAACCTAAAAAAGGTTTATTACGACACCTTGTTGAATCCGAAGCACTGAAAAGGTCTTTCATGAAACCTCTGATGGAACTGAACTACTATTAGGTTTCGTCCCACGGAAAAAATTTCACTAAAAAAACGCGGTAAACCGCGGTTTCAAGCGGTATTTGGAAAACGCGGGAGTCAGACCTTTTAGGCGTCTCTAAAAAAACCGCTGAAAACCGCGTTTTTTTTAAATTGAATAAACGGTCTGACTACCCCGGTTTTTTTAAGCGCGTCAGTACGCGAACTCCCCAAGACGCGATCAGACGCGGTTTTAAAAAAACGCAGAAACGTCGGTGATAATCGCGGTTTCAGAATACCGCATTTTTACAGTTGACCTGATCGCTTCGGTATGCTCAGGTGAGTTACCCTACGTGGGGTAGTGTAGTGAACTATGAGTTCCAATACTTCAAAGTCGCGTTGCAGCGACGAAGTTCATATTAAATTTTATAATACGTTACAGATAGTAAAGTGCGCACAATATCCTTTCTGTTCGTACACATTGTTGCAGTAACATCGTACGAAATGCGCAAAGACAATACTGCCAGTTTATGATACCCCGACGCGGTTACAATCGAGTTCAACGCGGTTTATGACACCGCGACTAACTGCGTTGCAAATTACCGCGATTGCCGTTTAGTTCAACGCGGTTTATGATACCGCGACTAACCGCGTTGCAAATTACCGCGATTGCCGTTTAGTTCAACGCGGTTTACGATACCGCGACTAACCGCCTTGCAAATTACCGTGGTTACCATCGAGTTCAACGCGGTTTACGATACCTCGGTTTTTCTTGAAAAATCTTTTCAGTGTGGAAAAGACTTTATATCACATTTTTGAAGATATACTACGAACCTAATCAAAGGTCGCTGAGGTACTCAAACGTTCAAGCACAGAATGTGTTGAATATCATAAGCAGAATCTTCTCAGCACGTTTCATGAAGACGCGACTTACACTACCGCGTTGATACACATGATCACCGCGTTTTATAAAACCGCGACCAACCGCGACTTATTCTACCGCGTTGAGATACATCCTCACCGCGTTCCACAAAACCGCGACCAACCGCGACTTATTCTACCGCGGTTACGCACATAATCACCGCGTTCCATAAAACCGCGACCAACCGCGACTTATTTTACCGCGTTGACACATATGATCACCGCGTTTAACCGCGTTTTTTGTAGGACACCGCGGTGCATCATGGGAGAACCGCGATAACAATAAAATCCCGCGGTTGACCGCGATTTTTTCGAAATTTTTTTTCCGTGGGCTGTTGTTTAAAATTTTTAAATCGAAAAGTGTTAAGAAATTTAAGTTAATATCATTTCAGGATAATCAAGTCGTATAGATAAATTTCACCATTCTATCGGGCGACGCATAAAAGAACACTAGGCGTCTTCTACTTCGAAAAACAATTTATATAATATAAGACCTGCGCAATAAATTTGTTGAATCTGTTGTTGCAATTGGTTCCAATAAATCGGAGTCCTTCAGTATGTTCTGGATGTTTAAAAAAAATGAATGGGCGATGAAGAAATTAAAACAAAAGTGAAATATTACTTCTAGAAAAGTCGTCTGGTCATTGGTTTTGACTAGTTTGTTATGATAACAAAGAAAACCACTGAACCAAGGCATAAGTGTAGCTAGAAGGATAGCCACAGAACTCTGTTTATGATCAATATATCCATACCTGAATTAAAATCTTTGAAATTTACTAGAGAAAGAAAAGTTGATTTTAACGTACCAAATATTATTCAGTACATTTTGTACTGCTCGGTGACCAATAAATCGCTTGGCATCAGCTTTTATAGCTAAATCTAACCACGTGGCATTACCATAGGCTGATATTTGTCTTATGATCGCTTTCGTACAGATATATGGATCACTTTGATGAAAACGATCAAGTATTTCCACAGCCAAACCTTCAAATTCATCAGCTTTTTCATAATAGCGATTGTCATGGTTTTTATGAGCATATTTTCGATAGACTAATGCTGCAACTAATGCAGCACCTAAGCAAATATTTTCATATATATCCATGTTCATTTTTAGAAAAACAACAAAAATCTTACGTACAAATTTTATTTTTACAACGTGCCCAAAATAGAAGATTAAGTTCATGTCGATCGGTTATTACCGACCAGAGAAAAAGTTCTTTGTCAACATCCATATGAAACTCAGAATAACCTGTTGAAGATTCAATTAGATGAAACAAAATATGTTAATCTTATATCTGTTGAGAGCAACTGTCTTCTATGAATAACACGTGCAAGGAAATTACTTTCTTCCAAAATATAAGGCACAACGAAAAGGATTCAATTATCATAACTTCCTAGGAATTATTATATTTTTCTCTGTTTAGTATCTCGAAGAGAGAGCATCTGTTTCTATGTAAACTTTCAACACACGATTTTGGCTGTTATATCTGTTTTTTTGGCACAGACAAAGTGAATATGGTTTTATTTCACTTTTTTTGTATAGGTTTGATTTATATTAGAAAAGTTCTAGTCACAATGGCGTTTACACTGCAAAAAGTAGGTGCATCCAATCAGCCATCTATATTTAAGGACCTAACCTATTTCATTATTTTGTTTTTACGAAAATTTGCATGCAGAAAATGTTGAATACCTTCCGATGATAATTTTCTTCCATTACACAACGATCTTAATGATAAAGCACTGGTATCGTAAGAGAATCCTATTTATTTTCATGTCTCTTTAGAGTCATTTTCCTATGCCTTCACTTTTTTTATGCATATACATTTTATATCTAGAGCTTATTTTAATGGCACATGATACAGCTAGATATTCACTAAATTCTGATGTTTTGATACCAACACTCATATAGATTATGAACAGTTCAATTGTGAGTTCACAGTTTTAGAAATTTTATGAAATAAGACAACTCAATAATGAACATTCTGTCAATTAATAAAAAAAGAATATTCATTTGAAAAGAAACTGACCTTCTATTGGTGGAATTTCAATAACTTCAGAAGCAGCTTCACTTTCACGTTGTGCATTTCTTCCGCATGGTACACAATAAGAAGATAGTGCAGGAATATTTAAACGAGTATCAGACGCTTGTTTTCCAGTGTTTAAAGCAACATCAATATCAAATAAATCACCTATTAGTGGTTGAATTATGTATTTATAAATTGTAAATAATGGATCATCTGTTTGAGCTTTAATTGAATACCGCTGTTATTACAATAAGAAAAACGAACATCAATAGATGAGTGAATAATTAAATAGGATC